TAAATAAATAAATAAATAAAATTTGACACTCTTAATGCAGAGACAGATTGATGTAGGAGCAGACTCTTGTGAAATATTTGAGCTGGAGAGGTAAGCGTTTTGAAGTGGACTTGGAATCAAACAGGTAGCGGTTCCTTCAGAGTTAATATAATATCACACCTTCTCTTCAGATCAGGCAGAATTCTGGCAACTGAGTTCTTTTCTAATTGAAGATTCTGATTTATTTTTAAAGGGACTATAAAACGCATTACATTAATCCAGTATGGTAGTTATGAGAGAAAGGATTGTTGCAGCTAACCCATGCCTGGCTGGGAAAGTCTGGAGCTGACAAACTAAAGCTAGTAAAAGGTGACCTGAGGAACTGGTGCTGCTAGGAACTCTAGTGTTGATGATGAATCAAATAACACCCCTATGATACATTCCTCCTCCATCACAAGAAGTATGACCATATTCAGAACAGCTAATTACAACAACAGCCGCCCAGAGTGGTAGAATATAGCAGATGGGCGGGATATAAATCGAACAAATAAAATAAAATAAATAAAAATAACAACTTCCCAGAGCCAGAAGCCACCAGCCCACAATGCCCCTTTCTTATAAGGATCCAGCTTTAATTTATGGGCTCTCATCCAGCCCATTACTGAATCCAGACAGCAAATCAGCACCTCCACAATTTCATCTACTTTGGATAACAGCAAAATAGAACTTGATGTCATCTCACTCCAAATCCCTAAAAGACCTCACCTTCCATCTTCATAAAGATGTTTTAAACCATTGGGGGGGGGGGTTAAACCTTGCAGGCTCTCAAAGCTCAGGTGCCACAGGATGATGAAGGCATCTCCCTGTACTACTCCCTGAAACTAATCCTTCGCAGTAATTTCAAGACTGTGTATCTTTCTATAAAACCCAACCTAAACACAAATTGAAATGGATTTAGACTTAATTTTTCCTCTAATATATTGCAGGAGAGGCTTAAATATTTAAGTGATGCTGCTTTTTCACTGGAAATTCTGCTTTACTTAATAATTGGTATCTAATATTATTCTGTTGCAGTTTCTTCTGAAGCATATGATGCCCAAACAGAAAGTTTTAGGATTACTAAAAGAACCAGCATTCTTTTTAACCATAAAACTACTACAGTGGTGCCTCGCTTAATGATTTTAATTGGTTCCAAAAAAAATCGCTATGTGAAAACATTGTTAAGCGAAACACCATTTCCCATAGAGATGCATTGAAAACCAGATAATCCATTCCAATTGGAACGGATTACCATCCTTAAGCGGAAATCCCCATAGGAAAAAACGCCTATTTCAGTGGGGGGAAAAATTCACAAAAAAATCAAAAAGACTCAGAACAAAGCCAAATTAAGTTAACGAAGGTTTTATTAGGTGCACTAACGATTCCAAGCATTTAAAACATTTTTAAACATTTTAGAATATTTTAAAAATAGCAAAAACGGGGCTGTAAAAAAAACATTAAGCGAAACAAGGGGACCTAAAACTGTCATCGTTAAGTGAAGCATGGTCCCGAAATCATTAAGCGAAAATCGCCCATAGGGAAAAGTGAAGCACAAGATCACTCCGAAAAAGCCATCGTTAAGTGAATTTTTTGTTGTACGAAGCAATCGTTAAGCGAGGCACCACTGTACTTACATGATTGAAATAGATCCATGCTATTATTAATCAAAGTGAATTGTATTCTGAAATGTTGTCTAATGTCTAGAAAAGCCTTGGGGATTTCTGACATTTGTTTCGCACATAGATATAAATGTTCAGAACAAACCAAACAAATGTTTATTTATAAACCTTCTGAATGAATAAATGTAATTAAAATCTTCCTATTAAATTGTAGCAAATGGAACATTTTATGTACATAGCACTGTGACCTCATGCTCTAAAACAGGTGGATAGCTGTGTCTCCCTAGACATTGCTAGGCTGCAAATGCCAGCATCCTTCACAATTGGCTGTTCTAGCTGGAGCTATTGGGAGTTAGAGTCCAGTAACATCTGGAAGATCATATAGTAGTTGCCCTCGGATACCCTAAAATGAGTGTTCTTGTTCAGATTGCTAGTCAACCAGATATATTCTCTTCAATATGGTAGAAGGTATAAGCAGGCCAACTCACTACCTAGTTTTCCATTTTTCTTTTCCACATGACATAACTTTATGTGGCTCCTGAGCATAATTAGTTCACAGAAGACAGCTTTTAAATATGATCAGAAGGTGGCTTTTAAATAATAGCAGACTTTGAGATTCACCAAAGCATGCTGCTACGTTTTCCTTGTATCTGAGTCATCCTGTTTGTCACTGAAGTTAGCTATTAGACAGAATTACAAATAGTTCTTAGTAACAGGAATACAGATTATTACTTGATCAAAAGCTGCCCCAATGGGGTAATATCCACTTGGTCCCAGCTAGCAGTCAATGAGTCACTGTTGTCATTCTTGGGGTAGATGAATCCGTGGCTTGGTGTATGCTTGAGAATTGCAGTGTAGATTCATTAATTGCCAGAAGTGAGTGAATGTTACGCTGTTTTCTTTCTGCCTGGGTTAACAAAGCAACAGAGTTTCAGCCAATCTCATGCAGTACTTTGGAAGAGTTACTCCAATATTAAAATGTCAGTCATATCAGACAAACTATGAGGACATGCTAAAATTATCTCAGATTTCTGAAACAGAAAATGAGCAATGAAGGCATTCTGACTTAAACTGAAGGAGTGAAACTTTCATTCTGTATTTTGTTGGAAGTTGAAGTGGGGTTCTTATTGATCGCCTTCAGATATTTAAAACTGTAATCGTTGACATTATAATACAAGTTCAGACTTGTGTCTACAGTATATTCAAATGGTGTTTTGAACTTCATAAATATTTAAGTATTGAAGTTCAGATCAGTCTGAGTGATTTTTAGGTAGATGAACATTCTCAGTAGTTGCTCTTTATTTGTTTGTTTGTTTATTTATTTAAAATATTTTATCCCAGCTTTTGTCCAAGACGGCTTACATAATTGAAAGACAGTGATTAAAAGATAAAAACAGTAACTTCAAATATTTAAAAATAATTAAATATTATTTTAAAATGGTAAATAAAAATAATATTAAAAATAAGTTTAAAGCAGCAAGGCACAATAATCGATTAAAAAACCCCTTTCATACTAAGGGAAATATTAAAATACAAATTTAAAAATCTATAAATAGTAATTATGCAGATATTAAAAAGAATCAAATAAATGTCATAGTAAAAATGGTAAACAAAACGAACTCCAAAAACAGATTCAAGGCAAAATCAGTACCAAGAACAGATTCAAAGCAACAAGGCACAACACTCAGTTTAAAAACCCCTCCCAGGCCGCCGCTCACTAAGCCTGTCTGAAAAGAAAGCTCTTTTTTATTTTTATTTATTTATTTAGATTTATTCCCCAGCCATTTAGTGAACATGCCACTATTCTGGGCGTCTTACAAAATATTAAAACTATATAAACCATATAAAACATTTAAAAAGAAAACAAACAAACCCTACGCCCCCATAAAATCACCCATCTGGGGCATAAGATGGCAGACAATGGGCCAGCATAATTTTACGAAAGGGTGGTGCTTGGGAAGGCCCGGGTAAAAAGACAGATTTTAATTTGCTTGCAGAAGCTCAGGAGGGTGGGGGCCAGTAGTTGCACCTCCACAGGAAGAAAGTTCCAAAGCGGGGCAGGCACTACTGAAAAGGCCTCGTTTCTGATTGATGCCTTCCAGACCTCTTTTGGCGTGGCCGCCCGCAACATTAAAGACTGGGAGGTGCAGGTGGGATAGGAAGGTGACCTGAGGGAGAGGTGCTCTGACAGGTAACAAGGTCCTAAACTGTAAACAGCTTTATAAGTTAGCCCCAATACCTTGAATTTGGCCCAGAAGCATCTTTGTCTGCTTGCAGAGATGAGGCAGTCTGGCCTCTCGTTGGGAGGGAGTTCCAAAGCCTGAGAACCTGACAAGGCCCCCTCTTATGTGCCCCCCCCACAACACAACTGTGAAGATTTCTCCTGATTATCTTAGGTTCATAAAGGGAGATGCAGTCCTTGAGATAGTTTGGGCCCGGAACATTTAGGGCTTTATAGGTCAGAACCAGAACTTTGAATGGTGTCCTGGAATGGATCAGCAGCCAGTAGAACTGCTGTTATGAGAGGATTAGGTGATCCCAGCCCCAGCTAGCAATCTGGCAGCTGCATTTTGGATGTGCTGACATTTCCAGAAACTTTATATTGGCAGCTCCATGTAGAGTGTGCTACAGTAATCCAGCTGGGGTATAACTAAGGCATGTGTCACCATGGCTAGATGAGAGCTCTCCAGGAATAGGCACAGCTGGTATGTTAGTTTTAACAATGCAAATGCACTTTTGGCCATCGCTGAGTTCTGGGCATCCAGACTCAGAGATGAATCCAAGAGCACCGCTAAGTTACAAACCTGTGTTTTCAGAGGGAGTGCAGCTCCATCTAGGACAGGCTGCAACCCTATTCCTTGCTCTGACTTTTGATTGACCTGGAGCATCTCAGTTGTGTCTGGATTAAGTTTTAGGTTTTTTACCCTCATCCAGTTCACTACTGACACCAGACACTAATCTAGGACTGAAACTGCTGCTTCAGATTTGGATGGAAAAGAGAGTTAGCATTGAATGTCACCCACATTGTGTTGACACTGAACTCCGAAAATCTGGACAACCCACCCCAGCAGTTTCATGTAGATGTTAAACAGCATAGGGAACAAAACAACCATGAGGGTCCCCACAGGACAACAGCCAGTGATTTTAAAAGCCAGTTGTTCTCAACTAAAGGTCTCCAGATGTTTTTAGAATACAACTCCCAGAAATCCTGGGCAGCACAGCTAGTGATAAAGACGTCTGTGAGTTTTAGCCCAAGATTATATGGGGACCCAAGTTGGTGGATCAGTGTTACAATTTGCTTATATGCTTTGAGATCAAGATTGGGGCTGTATTTTGGAATTCACCAAAATGCAGGAATTTGGATTTCTTGCAGCTCACAAGCTGAATACAGTATGAGTTAACAATGCTATTGGACTGCAAAAAGGTGATTGCTATTTTAAGCTGCATTAAGAGAAAGATAGTCTACAAATTCCATGAAGTACTAGTTCCCCTCTATTTGGCACTGGTTAGGCTTCATCTTGAGCACTATGTCAAGTTCTGCAGACCACACTTTAAGAAGAAAGATGCTGGGAAGTTAAGAAGAGGGCAACAAGGATGATCAGGAAACTGGAAACAAAGCCTTATGAGGAAAGACAAAAAGAACGGGACATGTTTAGCCTTGAGAAGTGAAGACCAAGAGGAAATATGATGGCACTTTTCAAATATATGAATGGTTGTCATTCAAAGGAGAGGCAGGCTACATTCTCAGTCATTCTGAAGTTCAGGACATTCAATAATGGGTTACATGAAACCAGATTTAGGTTGAGCATCAGGAAAAACTTCCTAACTGTTAAAACAGTATGAAACTGGAACCAGTTACCTCAGGAGTTGGTGAGCACTCCAACACTGAAGACATTCAAAAAAACCATTTGTCAGATATACTTTGACTCAGTCTAAGTGGCCTTACAGACCCCTTCCAGCTCTGTGATTCAATGAGTCTATTATTGGAATTGCAAGAGATTGCCAAATGTAGTAACATACTTTGGCTAATATTAAAGGGAGTGCAAGCTTTTTTCAGCAGTTTTTTCATTTGGTGCATCTTTTTTGGGATTTTAATTGTTATCAAATATTATGTGCCTCCCAAGACCATTTTTAGTACCCCCAAAGCATTCAGAATTTCCTCTGTTCCCGGAAATGTCCTAAAAGAGCTATTTTTGTATTGGGGGTTTCACTGAGCCCCCTAAGCCCTCAAAACCAAATTCATACCAACGTTTCAGTCACTTGTGGTGTTGATACCCTGCCTCATTGCAGCCATTTTTGGCCATTCCCAGGCCTGGTGCAGCAGGAGTGGGAACTGCCTGCAAATATTTGGCCACAGACCAACCAAACTTGCCCTTCCTTGGTGCAGATATAGCTTCTTGATTAAATTGTAAGTAATTTCCACATGAAGTTTCTTTTGGGCTCAGTAACTTTATGCCACAAAAAATCATTTCACTTGTTTATGCTTCATTTGAATTGATGGACTTGGTGACTTACCTAGCAAAGAAAACAACACCAAAGTAGTGAAAGAAATTTCACATCATTATGGTTTTAAAAAGACAAAAACTTCTGATTGCTTTTAATTTTCCTGAATTTTTGAACCTGCAGAGTAAGTAAGCCCATCCTGCAAAACAAATCATTCTTGTTCATGTTATACAGGGCAGAATCTAGACAGTGTGCTTGATGGAACAGGTATAAAGATGGATCCTGATCGTAAGAAGCAGGAAGATGGAATAACTGTAGCTCCAGAGGACACATTGCCTTTTTTACAGTGCTACTGTTCAGGGCATTGTCCAGAAAATGCAGTTAATAACACATGCAAGTAAGTAATAGAGACAAAAAGGCTTGCTCTTTTCTCACTAAAGAAGAATGTGATAAAAAATTACAGCAAGGTCTCAAGATGTTTTTTTTTATCTTGCATCACTTTTCAATTCCTTCCTTTTTTTTGTTTCAGTTCTACAGCCCGATAAAATAACTTGTTATAGTTTTGAAAATGGTTCAGCGCTTTAATATAGATCTTAACACGTGATTTTTTAAAAACCTTACATAGTACATTTCATTCTGATACAGGAATTTGAGCAGATCAGATATTTGGTTACTTTTGAGCTGTTGCTTTTTATTGCCCTCTAGTGTTTATCTTTATGTAGTCTCTTAAGTATTAATTTTTTTGTGAAGCTGATGAATCTAATTAATCTGGACTACAGTATTAACTGCCTACATAGAGGAATTTTACGAAGCTGTAATTCATCTGAGTTCCTTTTAAAGTAATTGAACTTAACCTCCTGACATCAGATAAAAATTGGCTAAGTAAGTATGGTATTTGGTTTCCTGCAGCATATATAATGGCCAAAATCCTGTAGCTTAGTGTAGTAAACCACATTGGAGTAGGCCCATTGAATCAGGGGGATTTAGTGAGTCATCTTCTCCCTAAGTTCCACTGATTCAAATTGGCTTACTCTAACTACAACTTACTGAGCTATAGTAAGTCACAGTCAGTACAGTAGTCCCATTTAAATTGATGGAACTTATGGAAGTGTTATTGCTCAATTTCTTTTGACACTGTCAAGCAAATTCAACCATATTGTCTATAGTAAAGTAAAGCAAAGTGTGCTGGTTATATAGCAGTTAAAGCACTATCTGGGCGGTTTACAATTGTTTAGTTATACAGACTACACATTGCCAAATAGTCACTCATTTGTTTAGAGCACACTGTTCTCACTTATTTATTTATTATTTATTTATTGGACTTATATACCGCCCCATAGCGCTACAAGCACTCTCCGGGCGGTTTACAGTTTTTAATTATACAGGCTACACATTGCCCCCCAAGCTGGGTATTCATTTTACCGACCTCGGAAGGATGGAAGGCTGAGTCAACCTTGAGCCGGCTACCTGGGATTTGAACCCCAGGTCGTGAGCACAGTTTTAGCTGCAGTACAGCGTTTTAACCACTGCGCCATGAGGCTAGTAGGAAAATTATAAGAATCATTATTGTAGTGGTTGGAGAGTTCAAGTCAATTAATCTGTTCTAGAACAAATGGACATTGTTTCGCTATCATTGAACAAGAGGAGAATGGAGAGATTACACGTGCTTCTGGCTGCATGAAATATGAAGGTTCAGACTTCCAGTGCAAGGTATTCCAATTGTTTTTTAACTTGTTTTCTGAGTGTTTGCTTTGAGTAATTTCAATCCAGACTGCGTGTATGTATTTTCGTTTGAACTCTAAATCCCAGAACACGAGCAGTCACAAAGGGCAGTTTCCTTTAGCAAAGTAGACCTAAGCTTGACCTATTTTAAGTATCTGTCTGGTATTTATTCATTTATTTGACTTTTATACCAGGGCGAATCTGGGCAATTTACAACTAAAAAACAAATGAACAATAATAGAAGACAGTAAACACAATAATACAGTGGTGCCTCGCATAGCGACGATAATCGGTGCAGCAAAAATCGCTGCAAAGCGATTTCGTCGCTATGCGATTTTTAAAAGCCCATAGGAATGCATTGAAACCCCTTCAATGCGTTCCTTTGGGCTTCAGACTCACCTTTAAATGAAAATCCTCCATACGGCGGCCATTTTCGCTGCACGGTAAGCGAGGAATCCATCCCAGAAAACAGCGGGTGGCCATTTTTTTAACCCGGTGGCCATTTTGGAACCACCGATCGGCTGTTAAAAAATCATCGCTTTGTGATGATCAGTAAACAAAACAGGGTACCGATCATCGCAAAGCGATTTTTCCCTGTTTAAAACATTGCAATGCGATTGCAAAATCTTTGTCTCTATGCGATTTCATCGTTAAACGGGGCACCCGTTAAGCGAGGCACCACTGTAATCAAAATTAAACATCAACTAAACATAAACTAGCAACATAAGTAAAAACTAAAAAAAAATTAGTATAGTCTAAAGGCAAGATAGTGGAACAGATAGTATAAAATGCTGAAACTACCACTGTGTTAAGATGTCGAATACACTGGCCTGCTCTGCTTGAAAAACTATGTTTCCAGGGATCATTTAAAGCTTCCCAGGCAAATTTCAAGTGGGAAATTGTTCCAAAAATGAGGGGCGACCACTGAGGAGGCCTGGTTTTTACTCTTCTCTTTCCGGGCCTCTCTTGGAGATAATATTCTCAACCTCCTGGCCTGGGAAGGTAGTGTAAAACAGGCAGATCTCAATGGAAGGAGGTGTTCTGCCAGGTATTAAAGTCTCAAACTATTTGGGGCTTTGTAAGTCAGCATCATCACCTTGAAGCTGGCATGGAAATGAACAGGTAGACAGTGCACGGTGGCCAGAGTGGGGGGAATGTGATGGTATTTCTTCACACCAGCCAGTAGTCTGGCCACCATATTCTGGACCTGTTGAAGTTTCCATAACAGCCTCATAGGCAGCCGCATGTAGAGAGCATTACAGTAGTCTGATCTCGAGACTACCAATGGATGGGCCAGCATGGTGATGGACCAGGTGTCAGGGAGCGGATGGAGCTGAGCAATCCACTTAAGATGAAAGAAGATAGAACAGACCACAGATGAAAGAAGGGAGGCCCCCCAATCCGCATACACTAGGGGAACCCACCCGGAGGACTTACATCTTGTCCAGGTTCAGCCTCAGTCTATTATTCCTCATCCACCCAAGCGTGGCATCCAGGGAGCACTCAAGGGATGGGACGGCATCCTCTGCAGATGGGTGCAAGGAGAAATAGAGCTGGATGTCATCTACATATTGGTGACACAAAGCTCCCAAACTTCTGATGACCTCCCCCAGTGGCCTCATATATTTATTTATTTTATTTATTTATTTTATATCCTGCCTATCTGGTCGGTTAAGACCACTCTAGGCGGCTAACAGCATAAAATAGTATAAAAAATTTTAAATAGAAGAAACCTTAGGAGAGGGAGGAAACAATAGGAGAGGGAGAGGAGAGGGCATCAGGAATTGTCTGGAGGGAAGGCCTGCCGAAACATCCATGTTTTTAGTTGATTTTTAAAGATACCCAGCGAGGGTGCCACGCGAATCTCAGGAGGTAGGTTGTTCCAAAGGCGAGGAGCCACCACTGAGAAGGCCCGATTTCTTGTCTTTACCTTCCGGGCCTCCCTTGGCGTTAGGCTCCTCAGCCTCACCTCCTGGCTCGCACGAGTGACACGGGTAGATCTTGGTGGGAGTAGGTTGCAGCCAGAGTGGGTGAGATATGTTGGTCTTTTTTCACTCCACTAAGTAGTCTGGCTGCCGCATTCTGCACCACCTGTAGTTTCCGCAGCAGCCTCAAAGGCAGCCCCACGTAGAGCGCATTACAGTGGTCTAATCTTGAGATTACGAGCGCATGCGCCAAGGTAGTGAGCGCCCCAACATCAAGGTAGGACCGCAGCTGGGCTATCCAGCTAAGGTGAAAAAAGGCAGAATGGACCACGGATGCCACCTGAGATTCCATAGTGAGCGCCGGGTCCAGATGGATCCCCAAGCTGCGGACCCCATCCTTGGCGGGCAGAGTCACCCCCCCCAAAAGAGAGGGAGTTTCCCAAATCCCCAACTGTGGGGGCACCCACCCTCAGTACCTCCGTCTTGTCCGGGTTCAGCCTCAGCCCATTCTCCTGCATCCATTGCAGTACAGTCCCCAGGCAGCGCTGGAGGGACAGAACGGCATCACCTGCAGTTGGTGAAAAGGAGATGTAGAGCTGAGCGTCATCGGCATACTGATGACACAAGGCTCCACACACCCCGATGACCCTGATGATATAGATTTTAGACAGCAATGGGAAGATGATCAACCCTGTGGGACTCCACAATTAAGAGTCCAGCAGGTGGACATCCTCTCCCCAAGCTGCACTTTCTGAGAACAGTCCTCTAGGAAGGATCAGAGCCAGGCTACTGATCTCCAACACAGAAAGCCTCCCCTGGAGGATATGATGGTCGATGATATCAAAGGCTTCTGAGAGGTTGAGGAGGACCATCAGTCTCCCATAGAAGATCATCTTGCAGGGTGACCAATGCCATCTCTGTACCATGACATAGCCTGAACCTGGACTGGGATGGATCAGGGGCATCAGTTTCCTCCAGGATTGCCTGTAGGTGATTGGCCACCACTCTCTCCACTAGCTTGCTTTAAAAAAAAAAACCCCTGAAACTCCAAGAATGGAGAATTTTGAGATTTAGAGCCAAGTAAAAATGAATGTGTGGCTAATCAGATCTGTTACTCTAATGATAGATAACATGCTTATAGCATACCCGGGATATCACAACCATACAGCTACAATATCAAATAACTTCTATAAAGTCAAGTTCAAAATTTCCTTGCACTGAGAGTATAGCATGCCCAAAAGTTCTTTCCCCATGTAAGGAGTGATTTGGAAGGGAGGATGGAGTAGACAAATCTATTTTGGTTCAGTTTGGCAATGTAAAGAATAAGAATTTGGTTTTCAAAGCATAGTTCTTCCTTCCCAACTCATTAGTGCCTATTTAATGAAACAACTCTCACTAACTACTTTACCTTATTTATCCCCATGAACTTAGTATTGTTAGTAGCGTTTCTCTCAAATTGGAAATACAGGGTTGGGACTGAGTGGGTTGCTTGTTTAAGGATACCTGATTTATTTGTGGTATGGCTTACTCTTTGCCACTGTGTTGTACCAACTTGACTGATTGAAATCCAAGATAATAATAGCTGCTAATAACAACTAATTCGATAGGTGAAAATATGTAGGCAAAAAATACTATCCATGCATAAGAGGAGGTACAAGCAGTTTTGGTTGAAGCTCTGGAATTTGCAGAAGTACAAGAAAAAAAAATGAAGGAAGAAAACCTAGGAAAAACAGCAAAGGACATGGAATGGTACCTGACTATTGAGGGAACAAATGGAAACACAGAGGAGAGAGAATGAAGAGAAAGGAATGTGGTTGGCTTGAATCCTCATCATAGGAATCCATGGTGTAACATGCACAACCCACCATTCTATTATGTTGAACCTTCTAATTTTAATATAAAAAATATTTGCAAGTGCATGGATTTCATTTCAGAATTGAGGTTTCCCTTTGTAGTTTCTGTAACAGATTAGTGTAGTTCAAAGAAAAGAATGTGGAATTAGAAACACGATTTCTCTTTATTCCCCAGGACTCTCCAAAAGCACAACTGCGTCGAACAATTGAATGCTGTCGGACAGATTTCTGTAATCGAGACTTGCAGCCAACATTGGCCCCTCTTGGTCCTTCAGGTACAGCATGAGTATGAGCCAGGATCCACATAGCCGTGAACATGATGCTTGTATATGTATTAGGACTTCTGTTGCATACTCTTTCCACTGTTGGATAAATGGAACAGAAGAGCGCACCTAGCAGTATCAAGGAGCTGAAAGCAGCAAACAAAACCAGAAACAAGCAGCATAAAAAGTAATGAAAGCATGGAAGCATCGGGAAATAAAAAGCTCCTTCCTTGGCAACCAAAATATGTTAGAAGAGGCACTAAGCAAGCCTCCATAATGAATTCTTTCTGGGGTTTTATAATCAAGAAGCACCCCTTCCCTTATTGTTCTTACACTAATACAGTGACATGAAATGCAGGAAGACCTTTTTAAATGATGTTAAATGTACAGATAGATTGATATTTAAGTAGGTATTTGCTAAGTGCCAGGGGTGGGACTTGTGAAAGGCTTTAAAGATAAACACCAAGATGTCAATTTGGATTTGGAAAGTGACCTGGAGGCAGGGAAGCTCTGAAAGCCCTACCAAGTATGTTCCCAGTGCCTCAAGTTTACCCACACATCAGTATTTTGTACCAGGTCAAATTTTTAGGCCTTCATAGAGTATGGATAGCTATAACAGAAGTGTCGCTGTTCAGAAGGGATGTTTATTATTATTGGCATCATTAACATCATCACCAATGTTTATTATTATTACTGACATCATCATTAGTAGTCTGTTCTGCAGTCCTCCATCACTTTGTGAGTTCTCAACTTGTATTACTTAAATTCGTATGATCATAATGACACCAGCAATAATAATAAACATTTTGAGTGGTTAAAGTCTGTGTTCCATGAGAAAACACATAAAAACCAAATTTTATCAGTAGGTGAGGAATTATATGAAAATGTTTTTTCTTATCTCTCTAAATTATTTTTTCTTTAATTGTTATACTTGATTAAACTAAGCTGTTGAAAATAATAGTGGTGTTAGGAAGCTATCAAAGTCCAGCTAGATTTGATTTCTTAAACATGATTGGATTTCGAGAGAGTAAAATAATGACATGGAAATCACCTGCTATCGCTTGATGGTCATAGAATTAACAAACTCTGTCACAACTCAGGGCTAGCCTGTACTGCCAGCTGTATTCCTGGTGGTCCCAAATGCTGGTTGACTGAGTAAAGGCAATATGCAAGCCTTTCACATAATCAGTGCTCATGTAACTGCTGTGTACTTACACAAAACTGGGGGAAACAAATACGTTTTCTCACTTTTTCCAATAATATTTCCTACATACCCTGTTTCCCCAAAAATAAAACCTAACCTGAAAATAAGCCCTAGTATGATTTTTTCAGGATGCTCATAATATAAGCCCTACCACCAAAATAAGCCCCGGTTAAGTGAAACCCCACCCTCCACCATTGTGGAGCATTGTGCAGCAACCGGAAGATGACATGACTGTAAAATTAAACATCCCCTGAAAATAAGCCCTAATGCATTTTTGGAGCAAAAATTAATATAAGATCCTGTCTTATTTTCGAGGAAACATGGTAAGATTTTATTTTATATTTGACTATATTAATACTGTGTTTTTTATTTAGATGGTCGGTTTGATGACAGCATACGTTGGATAGCTGTGCTTATTTCTATTGCAGTCTGCATAATAATTATGATTGTCCTACTTAGCTGTTTCTGCTACAGGTAAAATAGCTTACTGTTTCCAGTGTTCGGTGCATAATGTTAAAAAAACATGGGTTTTCACTAACTCATGCAACCCATAAATCCATATGTGACTGCAGAATCTAGTTTGCATCACTGTGAAAGCTTTCAACCATAGCAGTGGTTTCCAAACTTTATCAGGTCGTGACCCCTTCTTATAATAGCCTAGTAACCTGCAACCCCCCTGCCACATTTGGGTAAATAGACTATTGTTGTCATTCCTCAGTATGGTGGTACCATCAGCGCCACTGCTGCTTGTCCTCTTACTGCTCCTGTGTCAGCTCTACCATCACTGCTTCAAAACTGGGGAGGGAATAGGCTGGGGGAGGTTAAAGGTAAGGAGAAGAAAAGGAAAAGGATGAACTAGGGGGTGGAAGAACATTGCGGTACCTAGGGAGGGGGCAAAGCCTTCAGGCAGAGAAGATCTCCCTCAGTAACCAGCACAGAGCTTTCCTTGCACCCACTGTAGAAGAGATGGGCCATTTGTTGTTGTTTTTTCTCCTCCTCCTAGGGTTTTGTTGTGTAGTGGGGAGGGGTCTTCTTTTCCTCCGCCACTTCTTTAGGCTGTCCCCACCGCCACTTCTTTAGGCTGTCCAGAAGTGATGTGTCATAGTTAAGATCCCTTTCTTGTGGAAAGGGCAGCAATTATATCGTTATGCTATCATTCATTTTAAAAAATTAAAATCTCCCAGTCATCCCTTCTTAGAAAGTAGAGGCTTTTTTCTCCCTCAAAGGACCTGTTTCTCATAAATGCACATACTAACTTCAATGTCTCGCTCCAAAAGGTCAGGAAAGAAGTTATCTGACAAGGGCTACAACACATAGGGTGTCTTGTGACGCCCCCAGAAAACACTTGTGACCCCCTTTGGGGGGGGGGTCAGAACTCCCAAGTTGGCAAACACTGAACTATAAGGAATATGGCGTAAGAATTAATGACAAGGTTCCTGTTGTGTATACTCTTCATATAAGATATGTGGGTGTAAGCTTCAAGCTTGTATTACCCTGGCTATTGAGCATCTAATGTGTGACCTGGGGAATATATGTTTTACATATAGGTATATGTTCAATCCAGCATTTTCTGTAATGGTCAAATTGTATTTGTGGCTTAGTTACAGTTGATGTTCTGTGTAAACAAAAGAGCAAAGAAGCTTACATGGATGTCCCAGCATTTGTAGACAGCATACAGGGTATCTATGTAAACTGATCCTCAGGCTGTCCTGGAAACACACAGACCTGGGGAAAAGCCAGGTTTAAAGCATGAATACTTTTACACATGTAGGATTGCATTTCTTGCCTAGTACTGATGGAAATAAGATGACTAGCAAAAATGTGATTTTGGACTATTAATTACTGCCATATAGTATACAGGTTTGTTTGTTTACTACATCAGATTTTCCTCCCTGTATAAAGTTTTCCATTTATATGGAGTCTTTGTTTTTTAAAAGTAGCTATCATCCTTTTCAGTCAGTTGTTGCATCAGTCCCTAACAGCTTAGTATTTATTCTGGCAACAACTGTGCAAACCCACTATCATGAAGCATGGCCTAATGCCAGCATAATGTTACAATGGCACCATAAGTTTGTTCATTCTGATAAATATTTAGCATTGGATTGTGACAATCCTAATTTAGATTTGGATGATTCAGCTTGTTCTCAGTGGTTGAATAAGATCATGAGTGACCTTGTATTTAAGCTGTTCTTCCCACTCCGCTTATCGTGCATTCTGAAACCCTCAGAATAAGAATAATGATAATGATAATAACAGTGGAGGAGTTCACAAGTTCAAATAACATGGAATCCCTCAGTTCAGGTCTTTCCTTCTGTGTGCAATAAGTAACATTTATCAGGAGAAAACAGAAACTAAGCTAAAGATATAACGGATAAAATATTTTTGCAATTAAGCTTCTCTAACTATGGATACTTGCATAAATAATTTGCTGTTTCTAGGTGTGTAATATTTGACCTTTTTGCCCTCTCTTTCCAGGCATTATTGTAAATGGGTAGCAAAAAGGCAGTGTTATAATCGTGATCTGGAGCAAGATGAAGCTTTTATTCCCGCTGGGGAGTCACTCAAGGATCTTATTGATCAGTCACAGAGTTCTGGAAGTGGTTCAGGACTTCCATTGCTGGTAAGTCAGTGGGTTATCAATGCCTTTTCAGTTCAAGGTTCTTTTTCTTCTTCTTTTTTCTTCTTCTTTTTTTTTTTGGCAGCATTGTGTTTTGCAACTCACCTGCAACATGCTGCTCACTGTAGGTAACAAGGAGTTCTCTAAAGAAGAAAGAACTTCTGTGGAGTAAGTTAGAAAGCTTACAAAATGGCATGCAACCTAAATTCATAGCTTTGGCAAGCCTAACAATAGAAAGCCTAACAATAGAAATGGAAACAATTCACAAATACACCTTGTGCCATAAAGTCTCCTTTGTTGATGCCATTTTAGGGGGAAGCTGGACTGGACAAGTGGTCTGTGTCTTCAAGCCCCTCCTGTCCTAATCATCCTTATTAAACAAGACTTTAGCTAGTTTTTTCCACCTCCTATGTAATCCCATATTGTGGGAAAGGCAAGTCAATGAGCTTTCTGAGGAGGAGATTCATCAGTTAGAGCAAAACTACAAATTAAGTAATTATTATATAGAAGAAGGGATTGCAGAATTGAAGGGACTGACTATAATTATGTAAATAAGACAAAGCAAGTGAGGTGTGGGAAACATTCATTGATTGGAGCAATTGACAGAGGGAAGAGTGGATGTTTTCTGTCTTTAGCTATCACGGCTCATGACGCTCCTTAAACAGTGTTACGCACCTAGGCAAAATACAGGCTGTAAGCATGAAAGCAACCATTCCTTACAGGGTCAGAAAGGTAGTCGTAGGGTAAGGGGTCAACATGAAGAAGAAAACATTCTTACGTTAAAGTGACTTTTCTACATTGTCTTTTAAATTTCAGTCAAATATTATTTTCATGTTTTGGGTTGCCCAGAGGCCAAGTATATTTGAAGCATTTGGATTAATCCACTGTAATTCTATCAACAGCACCCTGAATAAACTTTTAAACCCATATATGTTTTATCAGTGTGGTAGTGACAGGCTGTTAGTCCCATTGACCTCAGTTATGAATTTTTAAATAATTTAAATGAACAAATTCAGCAACAGTTGTATTTTTATCATTTTGTTTGGAAGAACAGTTACAGAAAGACTTCTCTAACTTCCTGTCTTAAAATAAAGAATTCAACACTCCTTATTAATTTAAAATTGCTTAGTAATTTCAGATTTCATCTTCAGGTCCAGCGAACTATTGCCAAACAAATTCAGATGGTACGGCAAGTTGGGAAGGGGCGATATGGTGAAGTGTGGATGGGTAAATGGCGGGGTGAAAAGGTGGCAGTGAAAGTATTTTTCACCACTGAAGAAGCCAGCTGGCTTCGAGAAACTGAGATTTACCAAACAGTTCACATGCGGCATGAGAATATACTTGGTAAGTAAGGAGAACTGTGCTTGAATGAAGATATAGTGCCCTTCTGAAAAAAAGATGAATTTTTTACATGAGATCAGTCCCATTGATGTATATCAGGGTATGAATTCCATATACACTGATTGTGACTGCCCAGGAAAGAGGCTGTGGAATTATAGAAAGCTTGATGACTATGTTACCCCAGTGTGCATCTGCTTGGAAAAGGTAGATTCCTTGCTAAGCAAAACTAGAAAACAAATTGCAAATAAAATTAACTGATATGTGTAGCGTTCACCCTGCTCATTAATATTTATGTGGAGATCTGCATGCACCAATAGGAGTTGCTGAGGGACTGAGTTAAGGGGGAGTGAAGAAAAGGAGGGGGAGAGAAGGGATCGTAGGTGGTTGAGAGTGGGGGAAGAAGGTGGCTTAGCTGAGAGTTAACAGCATTGACTGGACTGTTATCACCTGTAACAATAAACAATTTCTACTTGGGTCTTAAATGATACGTTACGTGGACCTCTGTCATTAATAGTGAACAATGTTGATGTTATCCACTAGTGGCAGCTGAATGAAGTGTGACCTTTTGCTTGGTGAAACAACCAAGGGCCACACAGGAATGTGACATCATGCTACCCTTGTACAAGTCTGAGGTCAACCACAGTTCTAATCATACCTCAATAAAGACAGGGTAGAACGTGGAAGGGTAAAGAAATATGCAAACAAAATGGTAAAGGGAGCAGTTCTCCAGTGGTGAAAGATGACAGCATTTAACACAATTTCACTTTGAAAATAGATATGTAAGGGGAGTCATGGTAGAGATGTATAAAATATGTAGAGCACACAGATTAAGAGAGCTATTTCTCGCTCTCTTATAATTCTAGAAGCAGGCTTATTCACTCAAGGTGAGTGATGTGAGATTCAGGGCAGGTAAAAAGGAAGTATTTCTTTGTACACATCCAAAACATAGCGTTCACTTCTGCAAGATGTAGTGATGCTGAATGCTTTTAACAGATTAGACAAAATAATGGAGAATAAAGCTACCAGTAGCTATTTGTTATGTCCACTATCATGCAGTATGCCTCTGTATACCAATTGCCAGAGAACATAAAATACAAGATGCTGTTGTGTAATTTGGGCTTCCTGTAGAGATCTGAATGGCAACTGTGAAAAAATGATAGTCCAGATTGTACTAAAAAAATAGCAGGTTATATGTGTGTGCATGGGTGTGTGTATGTGTTTTGTTTTGTCTTCCTAAAATATCACAAGGACTGGGTTTAGAGGGGAGTTGCTCCAAGTTTTTAAAATGTCTTTGGTTTTGTCAATATTCATCCTTATCACAGTTTTTGTTTAATTGTGCTTAGAAATATTCAAAACTAATTATGTTCCTAAATCCCACAGGGTTTATAGCAGCAGATATTAAAGGCTCAGGCTCCTGGACCCACCTTTACTTAATTACAGATTATCATGAAAATGGATCATTGTATGATTTCCTGAAGTGTACCACTCTAGACAACAGAGCTCTGCTCAAACTGGCATACTCCGCTGCATGTGGTCTCTGCCATTTGCACACAGAAATATATGGGACACAAGGAAAGCCTGCTATTGCTCACAGAGACTTGAAGAGTAAAAATATCTTGATAAAGAGAAACGGGACTTGCTGTATTGCTGATTTGGGGCTTGCTGTCAAATTTAACAGGTAGACAATTAAATCCTATCTTTGTATAAAACCCAGTGTTTATATATTTGGAGAAAAACCTTGTCCACAGATTTGAAAAATGTAAATGCCTCATTTTGTTATTTTTCTAACAATAGAAAAATAGAAGGTTTGTATTTAAAAACAAAGTTTCTGAAAGAAGATACATTTTCTTTGCAAAATGTACTTTGGAGAGAATAAATGAGACAAAATGTTTCTGCCAAATGTTTTCAAACTGGGGGTCTGGAACTATTACATTTTAAATTGTTCCCAATGCCTTCAGTGAAGAGAAGGACAAATGTTACACTTCAGCACACTGTTCTTCTTCGCCACAGTACACACTGAACAATGTCCAGTATACATTGTTGTTCAGTTGTTCAGTCCTGTGAATAAGTATCCATATAATTTACTTCATAAAAGTTATCTGTTTAGACTACTTAAAATGCACATTAGTTGTAGATCACTTTGGTTTTAGGGGGTTCACTCTAACTGAACTGTAGTAAAAATTTCCTTCTAGTAACTGAAGGAAAGAGTTGGGATAATGTTGTTGCTCCTTCTGACCTGTTTTTATATACTTTGTCTAGTGATACTAATGAGGTTGATGTTCCATTGAATACAAGAGTGGGAACAAAGCGTTACATGGCTCCAGAAGTCCTAGATGAAACTCTGAATAAAAATCATTTCCAGCCATATATCATGGCTGATATCTACAGTTTTGGCTTGATAATTTGGGAAATGGCTCGACGTTGTGTTACAGGAGGTAAAATGTAAAATCTCTTCAGATACAACCTTAAGCCAATACATCTACTTTGTGGTAGGGAAAAAAGCAAAAAACTTATTCTCTTGCCAAAAGTTCAGACAGTTTTTTTCTATATATATATATATTCAATCCCCATGTTTGGTTCATGCCCATCTATAAATCTTCAACCGAACCATCTTCCTTATTTTTTTCGGGTAAAAAAAGCAAAGCATGCTGCTTATATACCACTCCAAAGTGCTTCAAGCACTCTCTGGGTGGTTTACAAGTTAATTACCGGTATGCAGGCTACACATTGCCCCCCCCCAGCAAGCTGGGTACTCATTCTACCGACCTCGGAAGGATAGAAGGCTGAGTCAACCTTGAGCCGGCTATCTGGGATTTGAACCCCAGGTTGTGAGCACAGTTTTAGCTGCAGTACAGCGTTTTAACCACTGTGCCACGAGGCTCTTATTATTGAGATTATTGAGATTCCCTGAGCAGCTTTTCCTCTCATGTGTCTGGGAACAATAAAGGCAGTGCATCTTGCATGACTGGAAGATGACTCCTTTTGTGTGAGCATCACTGCCTGCATTATCCCTCTTACCTATGAAATTTCCTCCAGGTGTATTTGTCAGTAACATCCACATTCTGTAGAAGAAATGCCGCAACTTATGGAGGAAGAAAATGTAGGAGTAAAAGTGCTCTGTTTATGCACATAGAGTTCCACTGTTCCTCTCACTAATTCTTTTTCTGCCATCCAGCCTCTACTAGATGACAGAAAGAAGTTGTGGTAGCCCTACACACACAGACACACAGACGCACACAGTCTCACCCTTTGGCTTGTGGAGGATGGCAGTATGTAGTGGGGAGACTTTTCTATCCATGGAGGTGTTCCAGTAAGTTAGTACACTGGATAATTGGGGTCACTGGGGTTTCAAGATGCCTTCACTGCCTGCTTTAGCCTGTTATCCATGTTGTGGAAGTAAAGGGCAAGCTAATGGCTGAGTAGGGGCTTTGTAACGTCTATCAAGCATTTTAAAAGACACAAAGAGTTTTGGCCTATACTGACACATGGGGCATGTTTTATTTCCTATTTCTTGTAGAATAGCCTCTTTCATTAAGTCCATGTGTATTCTGTGCTCAGTTTTTTTCTGAGAAAGTTGTGATACAAATGCAATATAATGTATTTATTTGAAATGGGAAATTGTAGCCTCTTCAAGGCTACCCATAATTTGATAACAAAACAGGGTACAATAGTAGACTGATGCCTGTCACAGTATATTCTGCCAAGGATTACAGCAGGCTTAAATTTCTATTACTTGTAGGTATTGTTGAAGATTACCAGCTACCCTATTACGACATGGTGCCCAGTGATCCTTCATATGAAGATATGAGGGAAGTGGTATGTGTTAAGCACCTGCGCCCAGTAGTATCTAATAGATGGAACAGTGATGAAGTAAGTATGCTGGAAGGAATTTTTTTTTAATTCATTGGAAAGCTGTTAAACTTGTTGGGACCCAGAATCATCCTTGGCTTAAAAAAAACCTCATGTAGGTTACTCTCTTGCCTACATAGTCTTCAGCCTTTGGCTTCTTGAAACCAGTACAGTGGACCCTCGACGTACGGAATTAATCTGTATTGGAACGGTGGCCACAGGTCAAAAATTCCATAGGTCGAGGGTCCATTTCCCATAGGAATGCAATGAAAACCATTTAGTCTGTTCCAGCCAAAGAAAAAAAATCCCGGGCTTCCAAAGTGGCACCGGATGCCTCTGCCTTCTGCCCCCACTGTCCTCTGCTTCCCATCCCTGCAGGGACAGGAGACAGAGGGCAGCGGGTGCAGCTTTGGAAGCCTGGGAAGCCAAAAGCCCCCTGTGCTCGCTGCCAGTTTTCATGGCTTAGAAAGCTGCACCCGCTGCCCTCTTGTCTCCTGTCCCCAGTGTGCAGCTTTCTAAGCCCCAAAAGCCAGCAGCGGGCACGGAGCGGCTTTCGGCTTGCCTGTCCCCACAGGGACAGGAGGCAGAGGGCACCGGGGACAGGAGACAAGAGGGCAGCGGGTGTAGCTTTTTAAATCCCGAAAGCTGGCAGTGGGCATGGAGCGGCTTTCGGCTTCCCAGGCTTCCAAAGCTGCACCTGCTGCCCTCTGTCTCCTGTCCCTGGTGCCCTCTGCCTTCTGTCCCCATGGGGACAGGCAGGCTGAAAGCCACAGGAGGCAGGAGGGCACCAAGGACAGGTGATAAGAGGGCAGAGAGGGCTGCTTTGAATTTCCCACCCTTTACCCTGCCTTTTGTAGGTCAAAGCTCCGGCCGCGTCGAACTAAATTTTTGCGGCCAGAGCTTTTCGTACCTCAAATTTTCCATAAGTAGGGACCTTCTTAAGTCGAGGGTCAATTGTACTATTTTCTTTCTCTAACATCTTCATTCTTAGTCTCTGACTAGAAGAGGAATTTAATATCCAATACCAAATTGTGCAAAAATGCTCGTGCAAATTAGGGAAATGGCAGGCTTAAAACATGGATTATTGCAATTTGTACAATTTTTGTTATAGAATCTGTGAGTTGTGGTTGTAGATTTAAGATATATTTTCCCCATTTTTGCTCTTTTCCTCTTTTTTGTGCATAGGCTTTTATATGTACTTACAGGTTACAATATTTGCTTGCCATATCTCCAGTTCATTATGTGCTTCCAGTAGTTTGGTGCCCCTAGTTAAAAAAATAATTATTAATCACAATTAGTTCTAAGGAGAATTATTTCAGCACCCTGTAGGAAACTCTGGAGATAATTCACAAAACTTTTAATCACTTATGTGGCTACATCCATCTAGAATAGAAAAAGTTAATCACGGTGTACTTAACATTTATCTTCCACTTGTCTTTTCTGCTTGGTCAACCCAATATATTTTTCAGAAATTAACTGAGACCAGAAATGTTCTTTCATCTGTATTTGTTTATATAGCAGATCTTTTTTTTTAATTTGATTTTCAGTGTTTGAGAGCAATATTGAAATTAATGTGTGAATGCTGGGCCCACAATCCTGCCTCCAGACTTACTGCTTTGAGGATTAAGAAGACGCTTGGCAAGATGGTGGAATCACAAGATGTTAAGATTTGACACAGAAATGTCACTGAGGAGTGAAGTTTGGACTCCTGAAGCTATTCACTTGTGCAAATGTAGGTTTAGTGGAACAATGGGGGTGAGCTAGCATCTGAGTTTTAGCCCACATCCTCACCACTTTTACAGGCTGCTAATATTAAATCTTTCAGTACTTTGTAGAATAAGGTATCCATGTACACTATATGGTACAAATCTGGATAACCTTTTTTTAACTTTCTGTTTTGAGCTGCATTGAGATTTTCACCACACTTTCAAACTCCCTTAAAATTCTTGAGTTCTGAATTGCATATTCAGATTATAGTGCTTTCTGGGAAAACCTTAAGTTAAAATGAATTCAACAGCAATGGGAGAAAAATTAAACTTTTTGTCTTCTACCTGATTATATTACTGACTCCTGGAGGAATAACCAACAGCTCCGAGTCTGGAGTACTGTGTAATTTGATAATTCATTATGCCTTTTATGGGTTTGTGTGTGTGTGTGTGCCAGGATTTCCCCCACGCCATTTGGAGTACATAAGAAGCCATTTGTGTTCACGCAAGCTACCACTTTCTTCTCTGTAATGGAGTATGAGAACAGTATGGATTGCATAGAAAATTAATTTCTATGTTCCTTTTGTGCTGCATGGAAAAAATTACATATTTTATGACCAAAAATCAAAAGCACTGCTATGCAGTAAGTCAACTTCAATTCTGATGTGAAGAACAATTCATAACTCAATTCAGCGCTATGAATTTCTGAAGACTGAGCACACAACATGGAACAGCTGAACTACTCTGATAATTTAAGTGCCTGTAATCTTGTACTGTAAACTGTACCCTAGTTAGATTTTAAAAGGGAAGTTATTTATATTGCATTTTTTGTAAATTTATTTGTTAAATATCTGCTCTTTTGTGTATGTATAAACATATTATAGTATGTGTAAACGTACTATACGACACCTGAAGATTTTAAAATATTATTCTGTTTAAGTTTGATCAGAGACACAACTGCTGAATATGGCGTGTACAAATCTGTCAAAGTATCTCATGAATAGAGTAGGACCCCTGTATCTGCAGTTCTTCTTCATGGCCTCTGTGAATCACACCCTGGTTGATCCGCGCCTGCGTGGAGCCGCATTGGAAAGTTCTAGAGCTTCTGCGGTAGCAAAAAACACATTAGACTAAGTCCCCTCCCCCCTCGTATAATTACCTTGGCACCAAGGCTCCCCTTTCAGTTTTCTTTTAACCGCTGCATTGAGAGCCTCATAGTTCTGCTTCTGTGAGTAAAAGAGAAAGAGAGCTTATTCTTGATTCCTTCCTGTTATCAATCTTTTTTCCCTTTAAACTTTTAGATCAGATTCATTATCATCAGAGATTTTTTCTTTCCTACTTCGCTCGGCCCCCGGCCACAGCACACAGCCCTCAATCGTTTTTTTCGCAAATTATTTTCTCCTATTCATGGCCCCTTTGGGCCTGTTTAAACACTGCGTGGTCTGTGATAACAAAATACCTCTCTGATGGCCATGCCAAGTGTCTTTTTTGCTTTAGAGAGGCACACCAGATGTCCTCCTGCCAGCATTGTAAGAACTTCAAGCGTGGAGTCCTCCATTGTCACTTATCCAGATTGTTTCCATCCTTGGAAACAATCCCTTCAACCAACCAAAATGGCCCAAACTCTTTGTAAGGCCACCTCACAAACCAAAGTAATGCAGAAGACTCTTCCTGAAGCCTCAAAACAACGTCCATCGACCACACCATCCCACTCCGACGCTCCATCAACTTTGTCTAAAACTTCAAAAACCCATAAATCAAAGTGCTCTATACAGAAATCCTCAATATCAAAGCCCTCCAGTAAACGTCAAATGTCCACCAAAGCTTCTTCTGTTCCAGAGCCTTCCCCGCCTAAAAGACCTAAACAGCATAAATCTAAAGCTGCAGTCATTTCTCAGCAGCCTCAACAAACCACCCAATCAATCTCTATTGGTTCGCCTTCTGACGATGACAGACTCCCCTCTCATCAGCCCTGCTCCCAATCACCAGAATGGGATGACAGTCGATAGATTAACATCTTCTCCTCCCAGTCCTCAACACTCTGTTCTTTTGAGCAACACTTCCATAGTTGCTTCACCTGACAGGGTCAACTCTGAACAACAACTAGAGACCATACGTTATCAGCAACATCTGATCATCCACTGGACTGCCTCAGAGACATCGGCCCCAACAGTCTCTGGAGCCATCTATTTCATCACACGTGGCTCAGCACTCTCACTGGGTTGCCATTTGCCTCAACCAGTGCTCGACTGGACAAACCGCAACCGCCAATCAGCCAATTGCGCTATCCAGCTCGGCGATACCATCTGGAAATAGATACCTGTCTGGGAATCCATCACTACAGATGCCTGGGTACGTCCATCATCCGCGACGGCTACTGCATCCATTTCTTCCAACTTCCTCCGGCAACACACGTCATCACTCCACCATCTCCAGCCCTACAAGAGGAAATAAGAAATTTACTCCTCAAAGACACCATACAACCTGTCTCACAACACAACAAAGGGTTTCTTGCTGTTTCATCATACTCAAAAAGGACAGGGGTCTTCACCCCATCTTAGACCTACAAGAGTTAAACAGATACATCATTACCACAAAATTCCGTATAGTTACCCTCGAATCAGTTCTCCCTTTACTCCGCAGAAACAACTGGTTCACTGTCATAGATCTCAAAGACACATACTTCCATATTTCCATACATCATTCACACACAAAATTCCTTCAATTTCAGCTAGGATCACAAGCCTACCAATTCAAAAGGCTTCCTTTTGGCCTTGCAACAGTTCCAAGAGTATTCACCAAGTGCATGGCACCAGTAGCTGCTTACCTCAGGTTGCAAAAAATTCTCATATTTCCGTATATATATGATTGGCTCCTCATAGCTCGTTCCTGTCGCAAGGTCCAATGAAACACTCATTTCACCTTTACCCTCCTTCGCGGTCAATGAACAAAAATCAAATTTGAAACCTGCAAAGAGTATTCATTATATAGCGCATACATAGATTCCACACAAGCTCCCGCCTTTCTTTCTCCAGATAAGAGAAAAAACATTGCATTACTTCAAGTTTTCACCCCTCATGTTATGGTACCCGCCTTGACTGTGAAATGTGTACTAGGCACCATAGCGTCTATGACTTCAGTAGTGCAGCACATATGTCTCAAGATCATATCTCTTCCGTTCTGGTTTCTCGCCCTCTTTCACCCACTCACAGACCCTTCTCACATTCTTTTAAGGGTCACCCCAGAACTCACCTCCCAACTTCAGTAGTGGCATTTTCCTCCCAACCTATCAGTTGGGCTGCCATTCTGACAACCATGACCACAAATATAGGTCACCACCGACGCCAGCTTCACAAGCTGGGGAGCTCACTGCAAATCTCTCAAAATCCACACCAAGTGATCTTCCAGAGAGAAATTGCTTCACATCAACAAATTAGAGCTGTTGGCGGCTATAAAAGCTTGCAAAGCTTTCAGAAATCCCCTCACTGGCAAGATGGTACAAATTGCCACCGACAACACCACAGCAATGTACTATATTCTGAAACAAGGTGGCACCCACTGTCCAAGTCTGATCTATTTAGCAGTTGATTTCTGGGAGTGGTGCCTAGCACATCATATCTGCTTCCCGGCTTTACACATTGCTGGGCACAACAACTTGGCTGATCTACTCAGCTGCACAAACTCTCACTCTCACAAATGGGAGTTAGACCAATCAGTTTTTCTTCGCCTATGCGAACGATGGGGCAAACCAACTCTCGACCTCTTATCGGAAGTGCAAATGATACTGCTCCAGCTGGCATTTGCAAACACACCGAAGAAGATGCATTCATCAGGTGATGGCCCAAGAACCTCACTTACCTTTTCCCGCCGTTCCCGCTTCACCACAAGGTCATGGTTCGCCTACAACAAGACAAACCTGATGCCATCGTTATAGCCACTTGGTGGCTGAGACAACCCTGGTTTCCAGTCTCTCATCAGACATTCGCCACCTCCCTCGTCTGCCCCACCTCCTCACGCAGAACAACGCCCAAGTACTCCACCCAGACTTACCTGTTCTGCACCTGGCAGTGTGGAGGATTCCACCTCGCTAATGAATGTTCTCCGTCAATCAAAGAAGCCCTCCACTAGAAAGGCTTACCTGTATAAACGAAACAGATTCAGATCTTTCACTGAAGCTTCTTCATTGCCTTCTGTCAACCAATCACTTGCTACTGTTCTATGTTTTTTGCTTCATATCAAGTCTAGCAGCCTTTCCCTCTCTGCCATAGTTTCTTATCAGCCCCCTAACTCTCCGACAGCTCATTTCTTCAAGCATCCAACAATGAAATGTTTTCTTAAAGGTCTATCTCATATCTACCCAGAAACCCGTCCGCCTTCTCACAATGGTCACTAACACTAGTACTGCAACAACTTACTAAAGCTCCTTTCAAACCTTTAGCTTCAATTGATTTACAGCTACTTACCTTTAAAACAGTTTTCCTCGTCGCCATCACCACAGCTTGATGAGCTAGTGATTTAGCGGCCTTACGTCATGACTATCCTTATTTACATTATTTTCTGGACAAAGTCAAACTATCCATGGATATTTTTTTCTTCCCCAAAGCCGTATCTCAATACCATCTCTCTCAACCATTTATCCTTCCTTCCTTCTTCCTGTCACCATCCACAACTCAAGAATTCTCCATACTTTAGACGTTAGGCGAGCCCTTGCCTTTTATGTCCAACACACCCAACCTTTCAGGCGTTCACCTTGACTTTTTATAAGTCACCAACCACCTACTTAAGGTTGCCAGATGATGTCTCAAACTATATCTGGATGGGTCACTTCAGCCTTTCACCTCGTGTATCAGCTGGCACACAAACCAGTCCCAAAGGTGATTCGCCCTTATTCTCCCAGAGCAGTGGTGACCTCTATGGCATTCCTATGCAGCGTACCTCTTCCAGACATCTGCACCTCTGCCACCTGGGCACAACCGTCCACTTTTATCCAGCATTATAGACTCAACCTCCGGCAGAAGTCTGATGCAGCCGTTGGACGTGCTGTTCTAGCCTTCAGGTAAGACAGCTTTTTAGTAATGGAGGGTGTGATTCACAGAGGCCATGAAGAAGGTCAGGTTACCCACCTGTAATTGTAGTTCTTCAAGTGAACCTCTGTGATTCACATATCCCGCCCGTCCTCCCCACTGTCACACCATTCTGCTTAATGTAGCGGCGATTGACACAACTGAAAGGGGAGCCTTGGCACCAGGGTACTTATACGGGTGGGGAGGGGGCTTATTTTAATGTGTTTTTTGCTACCGCAGAAGCTCTAAAACTTTCTGATGAGGCTCAGCGCAGGTGCAGGTCACCCAGAGTATGAATCACAGAGCTCCACTCGAAGACCTACAATTACAGGTGGGTAACCTGTCATTTCACTTATCCATGGTCTGAAAATATTAAAAATCTTAAAGGAAAAAAAATCCTGAAAAAACTTTACACATTTATTACCAAAACCAGCCACTAGAGGGAGCCAGAGACTATGCTATGAATACTTCTTAGTGAAGAATAGATAACATGGTCTGATGTTCTCTAGTGGCTAATTCCGGCAATGCATGTGAAAATAATTTTTGTCTCTGCAAGGGGCTTGGAACCAATTCCTAGCAGATATGGGGTGCTACACTACTACAAAGATATTTCGATTTCCCTGTCAGAGGTATTCAGTAAGAATTATAATGCAGTGCTAATGTCAACAATCATATATAATAATATATATTATTACGATCCTAATAATATATATTATTACGATCAGCAGATCAGATGTCAAAAAGCAATCAAATGTGGGGATGTTTTACTTTTTAAAAAATGTTATATAGGTTGCAAATGGTCGATGATAAGGCAATAGATTACAGCATTTTTAAAAAATTATGCCATAGTGTCCAAAATTATTTTACATTTCCTAAAGTCACTGATTTTTTTATTATTATTTTCAGTTAATGTATTTTAAATATTAGTACATATTCAGCTGAAACATTGGTACATAAGCTATGGATTAATTTATTTTGAACACAGCAAGTCACAGACAATATTATACAATAGGCCTTAAACAAAGAGTTTGTCACTTTTTCAACCACTGCCAGGAGAAGGCATTTAGGTTGATGATCTTAAAACTATCTATTTCTCTTGTTTTGCTCAGATGGCTGGTAAATATTTGGCATAAAACATCAGATTATTAGTTTCAGCCAGTTGATTTCTTACTCTGTCAGGGACCCTTATCCCATTCTCAGCTAATGTTTTGAGGAACCCATGTATGTCTGCCAGAGAATATTTGCCTGATGCGAAAGAATGTAGTCAGTTCTCATGGAGCACTAAGCACACTTCTTGGGTCTCAGTGTCACTTTTCAGAGGCTTATCATACTATCTCATTCTCCCTATGATTCTAGCTTACCAGCCAAAATCAGCAAGAGGTTTGTCAGAGAAAGCTGTCTCCTTTTATTTCTTAAGGAGCCATTGATGATAAACCATTGAGAAACCTGGGGTACCAGGGAATACAGATTGAAAACCACTGGTCTACACAAAGCTATTTTAATTAAAATTCCATTTTAATCAATATTTGTTTACAATGATACTTTGAGCTTTCTCACCTAATCTGGTGAGGTATATGTTTTCCATTTTCTATAATGGAATACTGTGTTCTTCTAAGTGCCATGGAGGTTGGTTAGTTTTATTAGTAATTCATTATGTGCTTAAATTTAATTTTAATGCTGACTTAAGACTTTTGAATAAACCAAAGCAGCCAGAACTGGATTGGAGTAATTACTGCTAGCTGTCATATCAAGGAGCTAGTTTATTCCCCAGTATTTTCTTAGGAGGCCTTACTTTACAGCATAGCAAACAGCCCCTTATTTTAGAATATACTGTATTCTGTATTAAAGGCGAATCAGCTGTAGAACCTTACTGGGTTTTTAAAAACCTGTGCAGTTATTAGTCAAATCAAATGAAATGATTTGCCTTGAAATGTTTTGAAATTATAGCAAGAAATTTCTGTTACAAAAATGTGGCCAAATATTCCATTTTCATTTTGAATTTGAATCCCACTCCTATCCCTAGTTCGTGGTATAGGCTGATGTGATCTAAGAGCCAATTAAAAACAGTTTTTGTCTTTTCAGTGCTATGAATTATTGCAAATATAGTTTGTCATATCTTACTTGCTGCCTTTTTGTTGTAATTCCTTGAGCACTTTTATAAATAAAAACCCATGCATATTTCTTTTTTTAAAAGTACATCTGTTTAACACCTCCGCAGATCATTTTATTGATTTGGCCAAAGTAGTTCTCAGATGCCATTTGCTACACTGTCAGTCATAGGCGAGTAATTCATAATTTTATGTTTATTTCCAGTGATACAGAGCCACACATATGTACCTGATGTGAGGTAAAATTCTTCCTAACAATTGATAGGTCTGATACAAATAGACAAGCTACACTTTATATGCTGTAGGTTTTTAATCTCAATCCCACTGCTAAATATTAGTGATCACAACTTCCAGGTCTATGGAGAAACTATATGTGGGATGCTAGTATATGTGTATGATGCAGTCAACTACAGAAGCATCTTAATAATGGCCACCCCATTACAACCAGATAGTGAAAAGTGGCAGCTTTTGTGAGAAAATGGGGTTTCTTAGTATATTTTGCATTTGTCAACAGGTTGTTGCCTTATTTTTAATGCCAACAGGATTGTGAAGTCTCCCCCACCCAGTCTGTGTGTGAGACTCCTTGTATAAGCATATCACCATCTTTTTTTTCTGATAGCCTTCAGAACACGTGTGCTAATTTTGACATCTTCCATTGTGTAATGCTCATAATCTTTCACAAACTACAAGTTTGTGCCTTGGAATTATAATTTTTGAGAAAACATTCAGTCTGAATAGGAATTTTGAACTTTTGAAATTAACATTAACAAAAGTGTAATGTTTGATGAGTTCCTCCTTCTATAGCGTATTTCATTGTCCATCTTTTGTGTGAAAGAATTCTAACTATTAAAAGTTGTACCATCTTTGGAAGTTTGAAAGAAGCAGGCAGAAAAATGTCATTGAAATCAGTGAGAAAGGTTGGTCAGTGTTTAAAAAAATCTCCAAACGCTAGATATGTGTTGCAGTAAGAGAAGCTTAGAGCAGGCAAAAATAAATGCCACTTTCCCTTTAGAATAATTTTGGCTTGTCCTAAACTGTTCTTAAAATCAATATATTCACTCTATTTTTTTCCTCAGATTAAACTTCCATGTTGAGGAAATCAGCCAAGAATGTAGACTTATTTTTATTTGTTTATATGCATGCTTTCTGCCTGTGTTACATTTACAAAAGATGTCATAATCTTAAATTATGCACAAAGGGTGAAGCTCTTACTGGTGCCATGAAAATCAATCTATGAATTCCACATACAGTGAAAAACTTCTGAAAATGTTTGCCATTCTTGAGGGGCTGATGTCACCTGGTGCATGATGTAATTCCTCATCAGTCTATTACAATAATTAGCTTCTTAACGAACTCATAACCCTGCTGTTGTTTTTAAATGCTTCCCATTTTTAGATCTCGTCCTTAAGCATTCTGAGCTCTAGATGTAATTTGCTGGTGGGACCGTGGGGCTTCATTGATTAGATTTGCACCATGTGACGGATGGAAAACAGAAGTTGTTGTGGGGTTTTTTTGGCTCTTTGGTCGTGTTCTGAAGGTTGTTCTTCCTAACGTTTCACTAGTCTCTGTGGCCGGCATCTTCAGAGGACAGCACTCTGTGACCAGAGCACAGAGTGCTGTCCTCTGAAGGTGCTGGCCACAGAGACTGGCAAAATGTTAGGAAGAACAACCTTCAGAACATGGCCAAAGAGCCCAGAAAACCCACAACAACCATTAGATCCCAGCCGTGAAATCCTTCTCGAATACAGAAAACAAGCTTTTTATTTTTTTTCTCTGCATTCATAAGCACATAAAACTGATCAAAAGGATAGCAGATTCTAAAAATTTGATTTTCAAAATAAGATCCCTTCTCTGCAATAATGTTATCTGACTTAGAACTGTAACTAAAATGTTAGTCTCAGACTTACTTGCATACTGTATGATAAATTAAACAGTCTTCTGGCTGTGAAAGGCCTTTGATTTGGATTATCTTTATTGAAGTCATTTTTATCTTGATTTGTTCAATTATCTTGCCTTGTGACAGTAATTCGGTATAAAATTCAGCTAGTCCTGTTTCTATTCAGTCCCCAAGACTTGTGGCATGTTTCTAAAACCCACAGTGTGGTTGAATCCATAGGTCTGTAATAGCACGAGAAGCAGGTCACCAGGAACTTCTCTTGTATAAAACTCAGTGAAACAAATCCTGTTAACAGGATAATTCCTAATGCATCTTTGTTTCTTCGTAGTTTTTACAAAAGTTTCTTCTGGGCTACTTCTAAAAGTAAAGGCCTGTATTAAATATGAACAATACTTCACTCTCATCCAAATAAAATCATCACATTGAATAGTTCCTTGCCCTGCAGTAGCCCTGATTGCAGTAGAGAAGCCAACAAACTCTACTCATGTTTTGTGCTCTGATTCATCCATGTCCAATATTAAAATGTACAATATTGTATACAGAGAGAATAATGTAGCTAACCTATGTAAAATGTAAATACAAAGAGAAAGGGTGAAATAAGCAGTATACTCTTTTTGTTATGTATGCCAGAAGTTTAGAATGTCTGTAAATGTAACATGCTAAATGTCTTTTTGTATAGCATCTGATTTAAAAGGTGCCTTAAGTTTACCATGAATTGCTTTGTTCTGTACACAGATTTATGTCAATGTATCATTTTTAAGTAAATAATCTTATTTTAGTAAACATTAGTAATACATTTGTTTGTTAACAATTTTGTATTTGTGTTCAAAAGCATTTTCTGTTTTAAAACAAGTGTCAAAAACGTATATGCGTTGCAAGATTGTACTTAAAGTGGTTAAAGATTGTACTTAAAGTGCAAAATAACATTCAAACTGCAACCTTGATGAAGAGTGCATACTTGTTCGAAATGCAGATCTTTTTCTCTTTAAGATATTGTCAAACAATGCATTAGTCACTTCTGCTCTCTGCTTCTGTGTATTTTTACAGGAGTAGAAGCTATGCTTGAGACAAGTAATGCTTTTCTTAATTCCTGAGTGGGCATGTTTTGTATGCAGGCAAAAAGAAATTTGTGTGAGCAATTGCACTGTTCCATACTGACAAGAGAAAGAACCCCATGTTCACGTAGTGCAGAATTTATGCCACATACACAACCTGCAGTGGTTGTTAAAAATTAAATGCCTTCCTATTTTCCCCCTCCCCAATAACATGTAGCATTACTAACTCTTTGGTGTGCCTTTTAGATATGCTAACAGTAGCAGTGCTAGTGAGTTAAGGTAGAGAAACACATTGTGTTACAGTAAAATTACATGGAGTAAATGATGATGCACTAATGGAGGGGATGAACAACTTCATGTGAGGAAACTGATTTTTTTAAAATAACAACTGTGTTGTGTGGCATGAGTAGTTCTACTCTTAAAGTGGTGCATCTTTTATTTCTTTGTAAAGCAGCACATCCCACCTTGGTATGTAAAGCAGCCTTTCCAAGTTTTTTTTCCTTCAAGGATTCCCTTCCCCATTTTTTCATCTGTCTCGAAGATGCTGACTACATCTCATGGCCAGAATCCTCTTGCGTAAAGTTATATCCGTATAAGCTAATGACATCATCAGCTGTGGGGTTTTATCACTCATTAAAAGTTTCCTGTTACCTCCCACCCCAGGTTCTGAGGCTCTTTTGCAATGTCCTTTGACCTGAAGAAGTCTCTGGAAACCTTGGAATGGCCCGGGGAGTTTAATGGCCCAAAAATTGTTGGTGCTGATCCCAGCACCAAGGACTCTCAGCAGCAATTTTTGAACATTAAAAGCTTCCTCCCACCCACTCCTGAGGCTCCAGAAGGCTTCCCCAGATCAGAAGGGATCCGAACAGAGCCCTGGAACTGCAGAGGTATATGTGTGGAATAGGAAACTCTTAATGAACAGTAAGATCCTTTATCTCGTGGTGTCATCAGCATGCATGGGCATAACTTTACACAAGAACATTTTGATCAATGCATTCAGATGGAATACAGCACAATATTGCTGTATGGGGTGTTTCAGTTCAAAGTCCAAGCCAGATATGATTTTTGTTCTGTTGTTCTCAGAATATGCCATTCCACTTATGCCTGACATCAACCAGTTAGCATTCTGTAGTCATTGAGAATTCCAAGTCTTTAATTATCTATTTCTGAGATTTTCTTTTGTTTCTGCAAACCCTGGAGTTTTCTAGAGGTGCTGATATCTTCCTCCATATGTGAACAATCCCACTGGGCTACACAAAGGTCCGTGCTTAATGGAAGCTTTTACCATTAACATGTAGAACGATGTACAGCATGTACAGTTTATACTGCACTCTGGTTTCAGTGTTCTTCTGCACAAATAACTGCATGTTTTAAAATTAGTGCAGGAAGGAGATCCAGCATGGCCCTAAGTATTTGATCATTACATGTACAACAACCTGGTTAGTTAAATTGGGATTGTTATTTCATTAAATTCAGAACATGTTTATTCTTTAATGTTCTGTTGTGGCTGTTTGAAGTGAAAACACATTATTATGAAGTTATGCACCTACTGCACAGAAGACATTGCATTCAGAGTATATATTTCTGCTGCAGAGGTTAAATAGTTGCAACAGTATACTAAACTTGCTGCAAGAAGTAAAATACATACTACCTGGCTGAATTGAGGTGGTAAGTATATTTCTGGTTTAGTAGCATGTAGGTTCAAAGGGACTTGGGGTTCTGCCTATTTAACAGCAATACCAATATGTAAATAAAATTATAATAATCATTGTAGTTTTAATCTTCAATAAGCACACACATTTTTTTTAAATTAAGGCTGTGAGCCTGTAACCAAATAAGACTGTTGACCTTAAGTGATGTTCTCCTCTTGGTAAACATGCATAAGAACATATTATAAACCCATGGTACATTAAGTGTGTGTGTATACATGGGCATGCATCCACACATGCACGCATACACATTGTTTTAAAACTTATTGGTAGTGGCTTTTCAGGTTATAAGGTAGCATATTCAGTTTTGAAACACTCAGTCTCGCACAACTTTATTACATGCTCCTATGCATGTTTACCAAGAGGAGAACTTAGCATGTTTTTGTCTTTTTTGTTTTGTTTCGTTTTTTGCAGAGCTATATATAGGTTTAAGTAGGTGGCATGATAGCTTAGTGAGTAGGAGTACCAGCAAAGAAGGGATTTGTAAACCACTTCTGAGGGCTTTATACTTAGGAAACCTGGCAAAGATTGCCATGAGCCAGAAATAATGACAGTATCTAGCAGGTGAACAAAAAGATCCAAAGAATTAATAGAAAGGTCAGTACTGTTTATAAAAACAAAACAAAAATGTTTAATTTTCTGAAAGTACATGTTGATAATTTCAAAATGTGTATCCACCTCTCATAAGCTTTATCCCTATGCATTGTTTGATATGAATGGGAATTATTTTCACTAAAGGAGATCTTAATATTATCTGGTCTAGAAGTGGCCATTTGATGTTGGTGTCTACATGGAATATTTGGCATAAGCACTGATCTTATCAGCAGATTCCTGTGTTTCAATAAGATATTAAAATTTGCAAAGTAAGCTACATCCTAGGGTATAGAAGAAGATAATTATCAAGGATGTACAGGAGGAGTTGAATCCTATACATGCCTCCTCAGAAATGTGCCCTATTGATTTCAGTGAGACTTACAGTACTGATAAATATATGTAGGATTGTTGCTTAAGTGATACACTTATCTCAATTTACATTCTGATACAAACAACATTACAGACCTTAGAAATTCCCATTTTTCTAAATCTAAAATCCTATATGTGCATACCTCACATAGGGCACATGGCTGAGTGAAACAATTTTTATTGGCTTTCACATGTGATGATATTGCTCATAAGATAGCCAGATTCTGTAATTGTGGATTGAAAGGGAAGCTCTTTCTTGAGCTGCAGAAAATGAATGGAATCAAAGACTCTTATAGAATTTTACTTTTTTTAAAGTATGGAAGAAATATGTTGAATTTTCATACAGCTCACATTTGTTTTTGATGCTGCTAAGCAGCTGCTGAACTATGTCTAGAAAGCACCACTGAAACAATTCAAGGGTGGGGCTACCTTTAGACAATACCAGCGCAATAGTCAGAGAAGGAGGTTTGTTGTGCTTAAAGGAAGGCATCTACTATATCAGGGCCTTTTTTCAAGTTTTGAATATCAGAAATCCTGCCATACTCAAACCAGCTGGCTCCTGCTTTACTGAGGCACCTTGCACCAGTTCAAATGACATGTGTTCACCTTTCTTCAGCTCTACTAGTGCAAAAATAGTCATGGGGCCTCCATTTGCCTTTATCTTCTTATAGCTCATTAGTGTCATTCTGTGTCCATTGCTGAAAACTAGTTGCCCCAAAGCAGGCCCTGGAGGAAGTTCCATACTGATAGCAATCATATAGATACCACTCTGAGGTGACTTAAAGTAACCATGTTCAGGATAGAAACCTCCTCCATAATTAAGATATGTTCCATTGAGGTATGACATAGATGCTCCATCTTCTGGATACCTCACATAAAAAGCCACAGCTGTGCCTAGATAGGGATAGAAAAGGTAGCAACATGAATATGATTTGATAAAATTCCTGTAACATTTCCACATTGACAATAGGGATGATGGCACAGTTTGGAAATCTTGAGGCCCATCAAAATCTACCTGAAAAACAAAGTGAGCTTTTTGGTTGGAGTTTCACTGAATCTGCAAGTTGTTTTCACCATCTTCTCTCACGTCCTAAATGTTAAAGCCATCTTCACTGCATTAACAGTGAGAGCAGCAGCAGCAGCATACGAGAGTATTTTGCTACACTGCCCCCTCCCATTGTAGAGACATCAGGGACTAGAGAAAGTTGGAAGTTTTCCAGAGGGCCCTATAACTGCACACTTCTACTGTTGGCAGGGGAAAAAAATCGGATGACAGGTAGGTAGGAAAATATTTGCCTTCTTAATCAGTGTACATTTGTCATGGTTGCCATCAAGTTTAAAAGAAAAGAAATTGGATTATAAATGGGAAGAAAAACAGGGCCATGGGTGTTTGGCTTGGGAGAGGTTCATCTTTATGAATCCTTCAATCACTTGGGAAATTTGGGAGGGGTCCCTTTTTTCTGGAAAACTCACATAAATCCCACATCTGCCAGAGAGAAAAATAGAGGGCTTACTTAGATATGTATATTCTGTCATTGATCCAGAACTTGAATGTATTGATTTTAATACTGCATGTCCTTGTTAATCCACTTAACAAAATTGTAAATTGTAAGCAGAATGCAAAATTAAAGCAGCAAGCTCCACTTTGATTCATTTTCAGCAACTGCACCTGCTGGAAACAAACCAAAATGGAGCAATCCCACTTGCACCAAAGACCCCAGAGCTCCTTACATAGACCCGGAAAGGTGTGCATAGGAACACTCTGGGGATGGGTTGGTTCACTCTGCAATTATGTTGTCTGATTGCTCTGAAAAGAGAGAGAACCAGCCCGTTCCTGTAGCAGACCAAATTGGGACAAATGCCCGTCTGATCTCATCCTTAGTTTTTTTTAAAAAAAATTAGTTAAACATTACATTAAAGACCAATACAAGTAAGAATAAGAAAGAAAAAAATGGCCTGTCATCTCACATTGTAAACAATCACTGACATCTGAACAGATCTCTCCGCAGAGATATGCTGTATGTGGATGTTGAAGCTGCTGCCCATTTTCTTTCTTTCCTTTGGTAGGTATACACTATGAATGGACACCATGTCACTTCAAAGTAATTCAACTCTTAATTGTCCACTGGCTCTTTGAACTTCTCGAGTTAACCTCTCTGCAAGAGCAACATCCCAAACACATTTATACCAACTATTTACAGATAGGTTTTTGCTAATTTTCCATTTTCTAGCCAGCTCTTTTCTTTTCTTTTCTTTTCTTTTCTTTTCTTTTCTTTTCTTTTCTTTTCTTTTCTTTTCTTTTCTCTTTCTTTCTTTCTTTCTTTCTTTCTTTCTTTCTTTCTTTCTTTCTTTCTTTCTTTCTTTCTTTCTTACTTACTTACTTACTTACTTACTTACTTACTTACTTACTTACTTAATAATGGCTTCTTTTTCCTTGAGGGAAAAAGTCAGTTTTACAGATAGTTCACTTTCTTGTCAGAAGATGGTGCTATGATACAGGAAAATTAAGTTTTTAAAACTACTTTGTGATTCAGGCCTTATTGGGACCATCTTCTAGAATTTTCTTTTGGTGGCTTTAACTTCATTGTAGGCCTCTTCTCACTTTGCCCTCTCTGTCAGTAAACAGTTTCAACAAACATCATTGAGAAATGAGTGCACTAGGGTAGTTGGATATTTTTCAGAAAAGGTTTCAAGTGTTGTCTCTCTCTTCCCCTAACATAAGAAAAGAGTCACTGAACGTAGGAAAAGAGGAAGTTTGAATGAGTTTGATCAACTCAGTAAAAGAAACCACAACCTTTCATTTGCAAGATTTGAGCAGGGATGTTACTGAAAGGATCTTTGGGCAGTCACTAATACACAGAGTCACCACAATTTGGAAGAAATTTGGCAGCCCATAACACAAACAAGATCATATTTGCTTTTTAAAGAATTTTTCAAGTCCCGGCCGAAACATATGTTTTAGAAACCCCCAGTGTTACTAAAGGGACTTGTTGGAAGAAACCTACCTGTCTCCATGTTCTCCAAGTATATCTTGTTTCTTCCATTTAAAGTTCCTTCTCGGCGAACATTGGTCTCCTTCTTGTCCCTTATTTTTTGATGGTCCTGAACTTTCAGTTGCTTTCTCATCCTTCTGCCTACCAGTGACTGAATCTTTGCAACATCTAGACTTATATTTGCAGCAGCTAATTCTTTGTTGCTTCCAAACAGTTTTTGAAAAATCTGTAGGTGCTCTTCAAAGCTTTGTTGGGTTGTTGCAAGGTCTTCCCTCAGGTTCTCCACTGAAATAGTGAGTGGTTCCATAAAATTGACTCTGGTACGATTACAGCAGAAACTAGTGTGATTCCATTGTGATTCGTATTTCTTCATTTCCTTGCTGATGTGTTCAATCTCTTTCTTTAGAGTCATGATATCATGATAGGCTGGATTGTCAAGAGCATCCTCCATGGCAGCTTCATGGTTTGGTTCCATATGTTTCACTCTGTCATGTTCAGAGTTGACCTCTTGCACAGTATCTTCTGCCTCCTTCTCAGGGACAGGCTGTTTAGTAGATTTACTGGCACTGGAATCGTTCTCATGTTCCATCTCCAGAGAATGAATTCTGTCTATAAGGGATTCTAATGTAACATTTTGCTTCTTTAGATGATCTAAGATCAGTCTGATATCCAACACCTGCTGATGATCTGGGGGTGAGAAAAAGGTGCCAGAGTCATCTTCGGACAAGGCGTCCATAATTTCATCCCCAAGCACAGCTACAAGTGCTTTCTCATGTCTCATTGCATCCATGAGCAGAGAGTTGAAAGAGCTATTGAGATATTTGATGTGCCCATGCATCCTCTCATCATTTTCCTTCAGGGTTCCAATATTTTCAGACAGTGTTTCAGTGTGGAACTTAAGAAGAGACATGCTGCCTTCCAATTTCCGGCTCTGTTCCTGTTGGAAATCTATAGAGTGGTGTATTAGGGGGAAAGCTGCAGCAAGGTCTTTTAATCGTGCCTCTAGCTGCTTTATTTCTTCTCTGTTTATTTGGCTGATGTTCATTTGATCTTCTTTATTGCCTAGAGGCAGATTTTCACAATGACATGCTTTTAAAGACCTCTGTAGATCCCAGTGGCCTTGTTCAATATTGGCCAGAGTATCATTGAGAACTAGAATTTTTCTTTCCATATCTTCTCTGTATTCCTCTAATATAAGATCCTTTTCAATTAAATCTACCCTGAACTCCTCTATGTTCTGCCTTAAGTTGACTTTTAAGTTACTGATTGATCGAGTTAGTTCTTGATAGTCCTCTTCAGACTCCTTATAAAGTTCCTTTAGCTGTTCAGCATGCTCTGTCAGGGTCTGATTGAGAACTTGAACGTCTATGTCAGCAAATGGCTCATTTTGGCTACCAAGTTGTACAGGGAAGGCTAGGTTTCTGCTCAGGACCTCAAGCTCTCCTTGGAGTTTATTTTGCTCTTGTCTCATGTCTATGATGCTGTGGTTTAAAGCTGAAAAAGAGATATGTTGTATTTTGTGGTTTCTCTTGAGCTTGTTGTCAATGTCTGCTTTGATCATGGTGAGATTGTAGTGAATGGCTGCCTGCTGTTGATGGAAATGACTCTCAATTTCTCTCTTCATCTGCTCCACTTTCAGGACATTATCTTGAATTTTGGATTCAAACTTTGTCCCAAGCTCTTGGAAATCTTTCTTGGGCACGGTGCTTTCTTGGAAGCTCTCTATGTTTCTCCGATTGGCCTCGACATTTTGTGAAAGGTTTTTCAGGGCAATAGAAAGATCCTGTAGACTTTTATTGAAGCTTGCCCAGACTGGGTGAAAATGGAGCCTTAAGAAATTCTCCACATGGGGAAAAAGCATTTGCTGAAGGAATTGCTCCTGCCCTTCTGAAATACAACACAAAATGAAAACAAAACAAGGTAATGTGAAACTGTATTAATTTGGAAAAAGCATAGGGAAGTGGCAGTCCACATAGCCCCCCCAGACACACACACACACAGAGAAGAGTTAGACCAAAGCCCATGCTGACTTGGTGGAGAGACCCAAGCCAAAACACCTGGCACCCAAAAAGCAGCAAATTATTTTTGTTCCCAAGTGAAAATCCCACAAACATCTCTACCCATCTCTGGTACTAAAAATATGACAAGTAAAAAACAAAATAGTTAATAATTTAACCCCCAAAGTTTGCAGCCTGAGGTGGGGGCTTGATTTTGCCCTTTAGTAGAGCTGGTCCTGTTACCTCTATGCATACCTTCTCTCTCTCTCTCTCTCACACACACACACAGACACACACACACACACAAACACCAGCCCTTCTGTGGAGCAGATTTGTGCACACCTGCACTCTTAGCTGCCCAAGCTGCTCTCTGGTTGGAGTCGTTGTGGTTTGCTTCTCCCCTTGTGCTGCTGACATTAGGGTGAAACGCCTTCTGCAGGACCCCCAAGTGACTTGCTGCCTGGTGAATATCATTCTGCAGGTCCTCCAGCAGGGCTTCATGTCTCTGCTGGGTTTCTATGATTTCTCCTGCTTTAGCCAAGAACACAGAAAGGGCAAAAGAAACAAGAGCAGGTACAGCCAGTTTTAGTACAGCCCCCAAATGGAGGGGTGGTCCCTGTCCCTTCTGCGCTTAAGGAGAACATTCACTGCAATGAAGCTTTGCCAACGATTAAGGAAGGGGCTGTTGTTCCCTTCCTGCTCAGGCTGCCTGATCAGCCAGACCATCTGGCCCAAGACAATTTGCTGACTGAAGCAGAACAGCACACGGCACCCGCTCCAACCCAGGACCCGAGGTCAGCCAGGTGAGGTTGGTGCATGAGGTGGAAACTGCCAGAAATACCTCACCCTTCTTGGCAGTAAAGACATAATACAGGCAAATTGAATCATCATTCACTGCCCTTTGATGGCATGCCAGATCAGCTGCCCATAAATAAGCATTTAATTTTTTTACCCTGCATTTCTCCCAGAAACTGGGAGCCAAGGTGGTTTGCAGTATAAGTTAGAAACAACTTGAACACTCTTTACTTTCAAAAGCCAATAAATTATAAATAAATAACGGTAATTAAATCAGATGTCATGTTAATGCAGTTTAAAACATCTCAGTTAACAAAAACAATTACCATCAACCACAGAGAAAAGGGCGTGGGCCAGGGGACATGAGAGGAGAACGTAAGTCACTTGACCGCCCAATGTGAATGATTTCCAAGACCCTTTGCAACACCAAGTCTCTTGGATTCATTCTGACTTGGATACTGGAGCTGATTTAATTCCTCCAGATATAACTTTGGCCCTTTTCCAGTATCAGTGCAATTTTTTTTCAATGGCAGGGCCTAATTCAGTGCTACAGTTCCTGAGACCCAAAGGGTCAAGAGACACAGCAGGTAGAGCTATTCTACCTGTGTGCTAGGTTCTCTTCCCCTGCACCCCCCCTTCTACTATGGAGCCGAAGACACCACCTGGAGGTATTGTGTTGCATTTACAATGGGATGGGAAATGCTTCTGGCTCCATGGTAGATGGTAAGTAGGGAATTTTGCACACATATGCCATTTGGACCTCTCAGATACTCACCCATATATGGACACATCTAAGCATGCCCATACATGCAAACATGCCCTATCATATCATTATTCCTTTACAAAGGGAATAATATGTTATAAAACAACAGCACATTAAGAACAGCTAAATACTGTCTGGATTAGGAATGTCTTCAAGAACCTCTTGAAGACTTGGCAATTACATGGACATGTATATTTCCCTAGGAAGAATGTTCCAAAGGTCTGGATCCACCATCTGAATGACCTTGTCCTTACATGCGGTTTAATTGTATGCATTTGAAGAAGAGCAGAGGTAAATTCAGAAACAATCTGGACACTAGACAGGAAGCTATTGTGGACTAGATTTAGCCTCCATGCTGTCAGGTGCCAATTCTTACAGTAGATGATGACATGGATAGGGCTGTAAGCCCTCAGCACATTGGATGAAGTTTCAAAAAATCCAGTGAGGTGCACTGGAGGAGGAAACAGTTTGGTTTCTGTGTGTGAGGTACTTTTAAAAGCTGGACACTCATCTCCACTCATGCCCAGTTAGCCCCACAGCTCGGGGGCTCAACACAAAGGTATTTGTGAGTTTGTCGTTCTTGTTTCCCTTCCAACTCTTACCCGCCCTGCCTCTGTGACATAACAAGGATCCACCCCTTGGTTTCAGAAATGCAATTGAAATGGGCAACAATAGGTTTACAAGTAAAGTTTCTGTGGGGAGTCTTACTCAAGTAAGATGAGCAATTTCTCGTCTGTTTCCTAAAGTCTATCACAGGCAGGCAACACCGTTCCTAATATTTGGGTGATGCCCCGAAATGTTCAGGTTCTTTGGTATTTAGGGGAAAAGTGAAGACTTGTTCGGTGCAGAGCTTTGCTAGTTTTCTGGATCCTGGTATTTTTGGTATTGCTGATTTTATTATCATTCTACCATTTTAAGTAAAAACTATTTTAAAAATGTCTTTATAATGCTTGCACAGACTAAAATAGCTATCCCTTCTACAACTACTACCATTTTAAAGGTGGTTTTATTTTGTGCTTTTCATTATTTTGAGCTGCGTAAAGAAATTAGCATATAAAATTATCATCACCACCACCACCATTGTTTGAAGGCATTCCTTATAGCAAGCACAACTTGATCTTCTATACTGGCAGAAGTATTCCATCTAGTAATAGGATGTAGAGATTCCATAGAGAATTATAAACTTAAGATTTAATAAAAAGCAAGATCAGGACATGATATTGTAATTGTAGGATGATACACTCAATTTAACTCTACTTTGGCTTGAGAATGTTTCTCTGTCTTCTTCCCAGCTTCCTAGCTGATCAGCGGATGCCGGCAAGAAATTCGGCTCTGTAAACAAAATTTGATAAATCAGTGATTTTCCTTGAACTTTTTACAGCTCAATTCAGACAAAAAGTCCTGTTTCATTTAAATAAAATATTTCACTCATAAAACATCCCAGATATTAATCAGTTTCTGCTAGACATGCTGGTGCATCATAACCCTTCATCTATAAATCACATTGCTTAGAGTTTATATGAATGCCTTTATCACTTAGACCACCTCACAGTTATTTTGATCACCCTGATTACCAATTTCTATGGGAAATCAGTTGTGTCTCCATATTGCACACACAGAACAGTTCAAGCTGAGATCAGTAACTTTGGATCATGTGAAGAAAAGGTGTTCACAAAAAAGGTTTGTCATCTTCGTCCACCTCTGCTGCCCTCAAAAGACTCTCCATTGTTGGAGCTTCCTCCGTAACTGTGTGGGCTATGCTTGGGGGTGCTGTAGTGGGAGCAAGGAATCACACCCCAAAACAAACAAACAGGTGGAGTTCCCCTTCTATCTTTTCCCTCCTCTTCTCGTTTTTTAACCAATCCTCCACTTCACATTTCATAGCCCAGGCTGTTGAATCCTGAATGCTCCACAGAGGCTTTTCAGAGCTGCAACTGGGTACAAAGGGGAGGAGATCTTGAAGTCCTCTTCCTTCCATTCATGGCTCTTAGGGTCCCATGGCCTTCAGGGATGTGCATGGTAAAGGCAACATTTGAACTGGGGATTTTCTTCATCCTAGCCCAGTTTCTTGGCAACTGCTAGACTAGCAATCTCAGTGCATCACACAATCAGCCGCGTAGTTCTTTGCAGATGTACAATCTACAGAGACCCCTTCTGGAATCAGAGTTTAATTTTATGCCACGTTTACTTCTTGTGCTTCAGCTAAAATACCATATGGATAAAGACTGCAACACTGTGTTTTCCTTGCCAGAATTACTCTTTTCAGAACACTTGGATAACATTTGGCATGGGAAGAAGCCATATTAAATACTTCTCCCATGTGGACAGGGCAACACAAGAAAAAGTGGTGGTCCTGTACAGCAAAGGTAATGTCAAAAAGGTCCTTGGGCTAACAGATAGGTCTGATGCTCTGGCTGATTCTGTAACAAGCTATGCGCAGTCTCTAATATGTCACAGTATATTCTACAACAGTGGTTCCCAGCCTTGGGCGACCCAGATGTTCTTGGACTGCAACTCCCAGGAACCCTAACCAGCACAGCTAGTCGTGAAGACTTCTGGGTATTGCAGTCCAAGGTTACGCAAGGTTGAAAGTCACTGTTCTATAGGATATCCCTACTGTTGTGTCTCGCCACAGCATTTATGTGCCTTAAGGCCTTTCTTACCGTGGTGTTCACAGTCCTTGCCAATGTAGCCAGGACAGCACTTCCAATACAGAGAGCTCACAACTTTTTGTTTTACCTGGTAAACCGGCTTGAGAGCTGCTCTGTACCTAGAGATATGAAAAAACAACAGGAGGTAAACAAAATCTCAGATATTAAAAATATTGATTTCCTTGATTCTGGATCAAGAAACATGTCGATCTAACCTATGGTGACTGTATGAGAAGCTTTAGCCAAGACCCAAATCTTGAAACCTACCTTTTCTTATCCTCAATCATCTCATGAAGAACTGATTTAAATAAGTGTAAACTTGCAAAAATTGCAGTTTGAATGAAAATTTACTACTGAAATTGAATGTGGAGTTCTTTAGATTTAAGCAGCATCCTCTAAGGAAAAGAGTATGCATTCATGTGTATAATGCCAAACTAATATCTCCCCAGTACCTAAAGGCATCATGCTAATTGGGGTGGGGGTGGGGGTGCGTTACAAGCCTCATGGCATCCACAGCCCAGTTTGTCATCAGTTCATACCCTCTAGTATCTACTGCAGAGGACATTTTCAAACAAACATTTTCTTCCATCTTAAAACACACACACACAAACACAAATCTCTTGTGGGGTGACAAGGTGCTGGGGGGCCCAGGTGTACTGGGATCCCTGCAGAGGTGCCTAAAGATCATTCCCCCCCCGTGCACAAATCTCTTGTGGGGTGACAAGGTGCTTGTCCCCAGTACACCTGTGGGGTGACAGGTGTACTGGGATCCCTGCAGAGGTGCCTAAAGATCATTGCCCCCTCCCCGTATTGCCCAAACCAATATAGAGTTAGCAGAGGAAAATCATAGTATTTTGCCTCTGGAAATTCATGTTTTCTTCTCCTAAAAAATTGGTGCGTCTTATGGAAAGGTGTGTCTTATGGAGTGAAAAATACGGTATTTTGCCTCTGGAATTCCTGGTAAACAAAAATCCATGTTCTAGTTGAGAGACAGTTGGCCTCCCTGCTGAAATTCCCTGTGGATAACATTTGGCAGTGTGACGCAGGACTCAACCAAATCTGCTGTCCTGCTAGATTATCTCAATCTGCACTGACTACTCTTTCCTTTCTGGCTACAACTAAAATATCTAGTTTGAATAAATTGTGGGGTCAGTGTTGTGGTTAATGAAACTTAGCAAAGTTGGGCTTGCCTGATTGTAACAACATAACAAACACCTTTTTGTGTTTCCATGGGCCCTCCATCACAGTGCCCTATGCAACATTAGGATTTGTAATGTAGGCAGGCTAGGCATTCCTGTTACACTTAGCTTGATTTCAGAGACATTCCCTTGACCCAGGGAGCTCTGGAGACCACCGTCTTTGAGATATTATTCGGGAAAACATGACATTTGGACTGCTTGATGTAAACCAGCGTTCATCCTCAAAGGTAGACTAGACCTGAAAGCAAGTGTGAGATCTCGTTAGGAAGAAGGGCTGACATACTTACATGATCTTCTGGCAATCTGGCGTCCCATTTGGACATGGCTGCTGTGACTTTATGATATATTTCTCTGTCTGGCATACAGCTGTGTAGGTGACCAGCCGGGACCGAACAGAAGAGCACCAGTTCCTAGGTCAGAAGCGGGAAATGCAGGAAGGAAGTATGAAAGCAGCCATCAATTATTATAAGCAGACACACATCGTTTCCACGAACAGATCCTCTGTGCCTCTAATGAGTGCAGCAGAGGCTGTAGCTATGCTGGGAAAAGCTGTCCCTGATCCTTTCTGCCTGCAGCACAACAGGAGCCTGTGTACCTTTGCCTGTGGTTTCTACACTTCTGTAGGTGAGCCTGATATAGATAACGTGAATAGTGATGTTAACCATGTGGTGTTTTGCTGGCCGCACATAAAAACCATGCCCTATAGGTCTGGGAGACCAGTTAATTCCAGCTTTTGCCCAGATATACCTGTGATCTGAGTGACTGTGTGCTACCAATTGCCGGGATATAGTAACAATCCAACTAGTCCAAAAAAAGTAATTTTTCTAAACTCCAGCTATAACCAGCAAGGTTGTGCCTTGGCTCTATGTCTGCCCTGTCAGGTTTTGGACTAGCCCATAAGGACACAGGAGGTTGCCATATACATAATTGGACCATTGGTTCACTAGCCAAGTTTTGATTACAAACTTATTTCCTGATCTGGTAGCCTCTAGATCAGTGGTTCCCAGCCTTGGGTCCCCGGATGTTCTTGGATTAGAATTCCCAGAAGCCTTCACCACTAACTGTGCTGGCCGAGGTTTCTGGGAGTTGCAGTCCAAGAATTATCTGGGGACCTAAGCTTGGGAACCACTGCTCCAAGTGACTAGCCCCAGCCAGTCACCATGGCCAATAGTCAGCAATGATGGGGTCTCCCCCGAAGACAGGAACGTTGCTCTCTTTTCCTATTAGGAAAAGCCACTCAGCACTAAGTGATTGCAGATCTTTTAGACAAGAGTTCAAGAACAGGTGCAAAGTCAACATATTAGGAAAAGCCACTCAGCACTAAGTGGCTGCAGATCTTTTAGGTAAGAAGCTGTTCTAGTTCTGTCCAGATTAGGACCTGATATGTCCTTAGCCAAGGTCCTCCTCCAGGTGGCTCTGCCACAGACACCAGGGCAGGTAGCTTTGGGTAGAAATGGAGAATCTCACAGTGGTGGCATCCTACCTATGGAATGCCCTCTGCAGAGAAGCTCACCTAATGCCTGCTTTCTGGCCTCTTCCACACAAGGAGAGGACCCTTCAATTTTGCCAAGGGTTTTAAAAACATTTTAAATGCTCCTACACCTCTCACTGGATTTACTGTAAAGTGAATCCCTTTACCATCATCTGCTGCATTATCTTGGATATGTATTCTGGTGTCTTTAGCAATTATTTCATTGTGGCATCGTAATTGCATTTTGTATTTCAGCAAGTTCTGTTCTAAACAGATGTGGTGGCGCTGCGGGTTAAACCGCAGAAGCCTCTCCGTGCTGCAAGGTCAGAAGACCAGCAGTCATAAGATCGAATCCACACAACAGAGTGAGCTCCCGTCACTTGTTCCAGTTCCTGCCAACGTAGGAGTTTGAAACCATGTAAAAATGCAAGTAGATAAATAGGTACAACCTAGATGGGAAAGCAATTGTGTTCTGTGTCTAGTCGCGCTGGCCACATGACCACAAAAACTGTCTTCAGACAAACGATGGCTCTATGGCTTGGAGATGGGGGTAAGGACTGCCACCTAGAGTCAGACACAACTGGACTAAATGCCAAGGGGACCTTTACCTTTACTTAAGTTCTGTTCTATTCGAATTCAGTAACCAGAATCCAACTACTGAAGTATATTTGCATGACTGAAATAGTATAAGCTGTGCTGGCAAACTGCTTATCAACAAGATGCTGGTTCTGTTCTGGGGCATGCCAATGGTATCTCATTAATTGGCAGCAATTTCCCATCATTCATGATTCATACCATTTCACTTACATTAGCAGAAACTGGCAATTGGATTAGATCAACTAATCAGTCAGTTGCTAAGGCTAAACTTAGAACCTTCTCCATGCAAAGCATGTGCTCGTCCACTGAGCTCATTCTGCTCACAACTCTTCACGTGCCATCTTGACTCCATCTCTAAATCTGTTATAGGACCATCTCTGAGCCACCCATCCATTGTCTTCATCCACTGAGTCTTCATTTTTGGGAGTAAAATTTGGCAATGACTCTGCTTGCCCTGTGTTTGGGTTTTGCAGATATCAGAAAGGCAGTGGCGCAGCTTTGCAATGGAACAAAACATTATAGTAAGAGGCCTCCTGTCTTGTTCTACACGCAGAAATGTGTTGGCACAGTTTGCCATCTATATTGGCAAAGGAGTTCTTTCACATCTGGGAGGGGGCAGGTTGTTCCTTCCCATTGTGCTGATATAAATACTCCTTTCTCTTAAAAGAGCAGGTGAGTAAACAACCCCATAAAACATAAAATTTTACACAATGCTTCCAGCGTCACAGAGGGAATTCAGAAAGGTCAAGCGACCTTTTTCACTGGGCTGTTTTAGGAAGATTTGCATTGAAATAAGATGGTGGTTGTCTTGGGGGTGGAGAACGAGCCTACAGCATCTAAAAGAATGGCTGGACGGCACTGCGGCGGCTGCCGCCACCCTCCTCTTATATCTTGGAGTGGGAACAGAGGAACTAAAGCTCTGATAATGTCCATACATGGGAAAGTTTTAGCTTTGAGGCCAGAGCCACAGAAACAATGGGAAAATACTTAAAACACAGAAGTGGGAGATGAGGTCAGCCCGACAAGGAAGGTGGGGTAGGGATGGAGAGTGGAAAACTTAGCCATCAGCACACTTGGGGGAAGAAAGCGATGAAAGAAACTGAAACTAAGGGTCACAATGCAGCCAGACTTCAGTGATTCTGGTTACCGTACCTCAAAAGGGATATTGTGTAGCTGGAAAAGGGCAACCCAAATAAACAAGGGGCTGGAGCAGCACTTTTATGGGGTAAAATTACAATGCCTACCCTTGTTTAGGTCAGGCCAGGAGCAGACATTGGAGGAGCCTTAGAGCCGAAAGCACAACAAAGCTGCTGAGAGATAAACAGAGGCAGTTTTCTTGGGTTTGTAAAATCAGCCTTCTAAGATGCCTCTGCTTAAGTCCTGAACATCAGTTATGAAACAAAGCAAGCTAGGAGGTGAGAAAGCACAGATGCTTTCATTAGTCAAGGATATTCCTCTTCTAAGCACAGACTATCTCTAAAGCTGTTCCTAGTCCTGGAAAAGCAGTAGAAGACTTGAGAGAGGTGCATACAATTACACATGGCGGGAGGAATTGAAGAGAGATACGTTTTTCTCTGGTCTTCCCAAAAAAGATCGACTCCACAGTCAGCCACTGGCTTTCACTGAAGGATGCAAGATTTGAAACAGATAAAACGAAGCGCTTCTGCACACAGTACATTCTCTGCCACCAGATGTCATCATATGCATCAAAGATGCAATATCCACATTAGGCTACCCCCATTTAGCCACATCCTAAAATATAGCAGTGTCACAACATCCAGATCATTTGTTTTTGGTGCACTAAGTGCAATTTTAAATCTAGAGGAAATTTTCCCATCCTTATACATCATTTGAATTCTTCATTCCATTCTGAGTGGATTTGCATCAAATGTATTATTTCCCTACAAGACCTGTAAACAACACTTGCTTATTTTGTTGCTTCTGAGGATGCCATTAATACCTTCAGTCACACAGAAGTTACCAAACACCCAGAAGCTGATGATGGCCCACACAGAGACACCAAAAGATGTTGCAAATATTGTTACTGGGCATCAGCAGGTAAATGATATATCATCACCATGCTGAAAATGCCGGGAAGCATCCATCTGATCCTGTTAATTTATCTAATGCATCAGTCCTATACTCAATTCACTTCTTTTACCAAAAAGGTTGTCTCAAGCTTCAAAACAGAAATATCCCATAGTGTTAATTTAGCATGATCATATGGATTACAAAGTTATTGAAAATAACTTTAAGGTTCCCTGGCCACAGAAATTGCAGGGGAAGCTGCAATTAAATAAAAAAACTGTATTTGGATCCTAAAGCAACCCATTGAAAAGGAGTGTTAGGCAAGTCAACTCCAACCATAGAGGAGCATTGGACTTAGACAAAGCTTTCCAACCATTTTGGGAGGACAAAACCTATGCTTTCTGATGCTGGTTCAAATCTGGAAAATTGAATAAAACTTCTTAAAGCAAAGTTGAAGAGTATCTGCTGGAGTCCATGAAGAACACATGGGCTGAAATCCTGTTGCTTAGTGGAATAAATGTAAAGCAGACGCTTTACTACCTAGTTGAACTCCTTCCCTACACTATTTGTGAAATAATCCATCTGGGAAACTGAAGTCAGAAGCAGCCAATTCAGAAGCTTTATGGGAAGCAGAGGTCATTAATGGCAGACCACAATGGTTTTTTGATTTCTAAGATGAGTCCAAAACTTCCCTTGCACTGGATTAATGGAATGATAAAATGCTTTCTCTTTCCTCAAAGTATCTTTGGTTCTTTCTTAATGGTCATTATCACCACCACAATGGGAGAGCACTACAGAATTCATTAAATAGGTTGCTTTTAGCTTTCATCTGTGCTCAGTGGAAGGCCCCATTGGTGTAACGCTTGCACTTATCTTTCAGGCTCTCTTTGCATTAACTATGTACAAGGATGTTTGTAGACACAGCTTGCATGAATTAAACATTGTCTTCTAAATGCATCAATCCTTGCTTTCTCTGTAACTGGGACGAGGCCAATGCTAAAGAAATTACAGCAATCACTAGTTTTTTTAAATCTTTGCCATACCAGCCCAGGAGAATTCATAGTAAGACAGGAAGGCCAAATAATTTCAATTTCCAACAGATTTTATTTTTTTAGGTGCCATTTAAAAACAAGACACTGCAACATATATGCGAGTATCACAGATGGGGGGCAAAAAAAGAAAGAAACTACAAATAATGGCAGATATCCTGTTGCTTTGCTATGCATGCAGAAGGCAAATGATAGCACAGCATTCATTCACTTCTAGCTGACAATTAAAGAGCAACCACTGAGATTATCAAGTGCTCTAAATTCC